GTTGGGGTTGCTTCTGCAAAGTACAATATATGCAACTAATCATTTTTCAGGCACATGTTGGGGTTGCTTCTGGAAAGTACTATACATTGTCTGCAGCTAATCATTTTTCAGGCACATGTTGGGGTTGCTTCTGCAAAGTACAATATATGCAACTAATCATTTTTCAGGCACATGTTGGGGTTGCTTCTGGAAAGTACTATACATTGTCTGCAGCTAATCATTTTTCAGGCTCTAGATGCTTGCCTGCCAGCCTGAAGACCATGGTTTTGAATCAGCATGGGGGGAGACTGTTTTCTTTGTTAAATGGACCTTGGCCTACAACAGATGAGGAAATGTTCTGATAAGAATAGAGTGGCTGGCATAAAAGTGAGGACTGGACATTATTTGCCCACCTTTACTTGTAATTTATAACCAATAAGTGAAACAGAAGTCAATCATTGACAGTTGGCCAGTTAGTGAAAAATTCTATGGAAGTGGCGGAGATATGTTACAGACAAATTAGAACACCCTGAGCAGATAAAAAGAGTCATGAAGATGTCTCGCTCACAAATGGAACTGATTTCCCACACCACACACAAAAACAGTTCACTTTTTTTTGGTCATGGTCATGAGAAGGGGAAAACTGGAGAAGATTGTGATGGTGGGAAAGTTAGAGGGGAAAAAGAGGTCGAGAGAGAAGATGCTTGACAATTTGACATCATGGCAAAGAAAATACCTGTGTCAGAACTGATTGAAAGTGCTCGAGACAGGCTTTGGATAGACATGACTACCAAAGCCAAACAGCACTAACTACAAGATACAGAAGAATGTCATGTGATCAGACATTTCTACAGATCATGCTGATATTATGAATGCCTGTCATGAAATGTAAAGGGTGGAGGATTTTGGAGGCAGTGAATCCACATCACTTGCCAGAATTGGGAGTTAAAACTGACATTGCAAAAAATGAGACACACATCAGAAGACTTGTTAATTAACATAGAACTGGTACTGTTAGCCACTGGACGCTGGGGGTTCTTTCTGAGGAGAGGATTTGAGCACCTATGGGCATATCCGGAGTGCAGTGTTGATAACCCAATTAACTAACTAACTTCAACAGAAATGATATTTGCTGTCAAAGTAATAAGTTAGCTGCATATTCTTTACAAGACAACCAACTGTTGTGTGGTTTTTTTTTTTTTAAAGCCAGTGGTTCCTAGTTAAATAAAAACCTACGAACCCTCTTCTTATTTTTGAAGATCTAACAATGACAAGAGTCGTAGCAAGGGGCTCGTGGGCCACTGTGGGGTTGACAAAATGGCAAAATGTGTGCTTTTAACATTCAAAAATGTGTGTGTGTGTGACAGGAAATTGCCCGCTCCTGTACCATATGACCTTGCTAGTCATACAGGTCACAGGCCCCTTTCATTGTCATTAAAGAAATCAGAACACTCAAGGGAAAATACGAGGAATTGCAGAGTGAACACACTAACAGTAAACATCTACAAGATCCCATCAGCAAACTCAACAGAAAACAACATACAACAATTTTCCGTCTTTGAACAGGACACTGCAGGCTCAACTACCACATGCATTCAATAAAGTCTGTACAGTCCCCACAATGTACCTGTCAAACAGGAGCACAAACACCTGAGCACATTCTGCAGACCTGCCCACTCCCCCTACAACATCGAAAGAACACCTGGCCTCAAGAGCAAACTGTGCAGAGCAAGCCATGGGGAACAATGAAGGACCTTCAGCTGCCATGCGAGTTCATAGAGGCACCCCACCTGATGATCTGATCTGAGCATACACAACTGAACACGAAGAAGAAGAAGACCCCATATTTTCAACTCTTTCAGGCCCAAGGAACGCTTCACATGTGCAAAAGTTCCTACCTAAAAACACAACATAACGTCGATGTTACGTTTCTCTCTACACCAGGGCTAAATTTGCTCAGGGGCCAAAATTTTGAAAATGGGTATCACCAAGGGCCAAAGTCTCACGCCCCAGCATAAACAGCTCATTAATATAGTACAACTGGCAATGATCCGCTGGCCACTTGTTAAAATCTGGCCCACAGTCCGTCAGTTGAATAGCCCTGCTCTACACTATACACTCCCCCTTGGGCCTATGATGCTAAACCCTCTCAGACTGAAAGTTCATTTTTTTAAATTTTATTTTAAAGAGTAAATCTAAATTTAAATGATGCTGACACAAAAAATGCATTGCATAATTTATTGCCTGGCATATTTCGCTGTATCTCGTCAGGTGGTCAGGTGCGTTACTAAAGTTACATCAACATATAATGAAACAAACAGAAATATCACATCTTTAGCATACAGTGATACCTAATAAACAAAAGTATCATATCACACTACTACAGAGTGATACTTCTTAAACCAAAGTGTTACAAGACAGAGTGTGATACGTGGTAAACAAAAAGTATCATATCACGTTATCACTCAGTGATATCTAATAATCATCTCCACCTGGTACCCATTCAAGGCTGGGTCAACCTGGAAGCCAAGGTTATTTCTGAAAAAAAAAAATCCCCAACCTTACTAAGTATTCGAAACTGGGTCTCCCACATGAGAGTCCAGTGCACTAACCATTCAGCCAGCTGTTTCTTAGAACAGATATTGCTCATACACAATGACATTGATTCGGGTGGGGGGGGGGGGGGGGGGGTCTTCTACTTCTCTGTGTTTATCGGCTGTAAACTCTGGCAGACAGTTCTGGTTGTTCGCCTACTTCTGGACTTTGATTGTGTTCCAGAACTCGAGTTTTGTGTGCACATCCATTTTACAGATCTGGCTTATTTGTGTGCATGCTTTTGGTTCCTCGCCTCTCAGGCAGATGCACTAATTTCAAAGGAAACAGCCCGAATTAGTCACCTTTTACAACATGTCTGTCTGGCAGCAGGTCAATTCCCCACCCATCAAACTTGGCTGCGGAACCCACACGGAGATGAGCAGGGAGTGAACACAGGATCTGGATGATGCTATGCAGTTAGGGGGAAACACAGACAGACTTCCAATGTAGAGTCTTATAATATACAGCCTTCCAATATACAGACTTCCAATATACAGCCTTCCAATATACAGACTTCCCATGTAGAGTCTTCAAATATACAGCCTTCCAATATAAAGACTGCCAATATACAGCCTTCCAAAATACAGACTTTCAATATACAGACTTATAATATAAAGACTTCCAATATACAGACTTCTAATATAAAGACTTCCAATATACAGACTTCTAATATAAAGACTTCCAATATACAGACTTATAATATATAAAGACTTCCAATATACAGACTTCTAATATATAAAGACTTCCAATATACAGACTTCCAATATGGCTACCACTGGCACCATCAGTATGGTAACACTGGCCACTGAAGAAAGGAACAGAATGTTCCAACAGTAGTAATGTCAATTCTTATCTCTTTCATTCTAAAATAACAAAGTCCGAAGTTCTGCCACTTGTTTATCTTCTACCTTTCATCTCCCAAATGAAGATTCAACCTTCCTAGCGCGAGGAACACGGCTAGACCACTTTGCCACTGAGAATCGTGTCCTAATTGGGAAGCATTTGATGATGGATTTCCCACTGGCAACAGGATCATAGATACAGCTTTTTCTCATTCACTGGCTGTAAACTCATACATTAAGTTCTGGATGTTCGTCCACTTCCCAACGTTGGTCTTGTTCCAGAACTTGAGTGTTGGGTACAAATTTGTTTTACAGATCTGGCTTACTTCTATGCAATTAACACATAGACAATGTATTGATTGGCACTCATTGACAGAAGCAGAAAGACACACTAGACATCATAAAAATCAAAAGCTATAGTTACCATACTGGGAACTGAGCCTGTCACCTCCAAATGGTGTGTGCAACTCGCTATGGAAACGAGTGTTGGAAAAAAAACCCGGGCAACTAGGCACCCCAAAAAAGATGTCTTTGTTAGCATGTGTATACTACAGCTTGAAATCCACAACTATGGAACACGGTCAGAATTAATCTCAAACCACTTAAAAAGCACTACAGGTTACAGAAATTTTTATTAACGAAGGTTAAAGTTAAACATTCAGAGCGCGAGGCAGATGGCTTGACCCCGACTTAACAAATGTTTATTTATGTACTTCTATGCAGACTGCTGGTTCCTCATCTCTCAGACAGATGCACTCCAACTTCATAAGAAGCAGACCAAGTGAGACTGATGACCCTATGGGGGCTGAGTGGTCTCGAGGTATGGTGACCGCCTCGAGTGCTGAAAGCCCCGGTTCAAGCCCCAGTGAGGGCTAAGATTTTTTCACGTAACTTCTAGTAATTTCCCCTTGTCTCTGGGTAGTAAGAAAAAAATCTTTTGGCAGTTGGAAATTGAAAAGAGTAGCCTTATAGCACCGCCCAGGCAAAATTCAGAGTTAAAAATCTTCAAAGTATTTCAGGATCCTGACCAGTGCAACAGAGTTCGTGCACTGCACTGAGATTCTTCAGACTCAGGCTTGAGTTAGAAGTAGAACGGAGCACTTATGGGTTACACCCATATGCCATGATGTTGATCCGTCCAATAAACATTAACATCTCCCAAATGAGAAGGTTTACAGTTAAAAGGTTAACCAAGGTTCACAGCTTGAGTGTAGCAAACTTTGTTGCAGGATGCTCCACAGGTATGATGATGATGAATGTGATCACAGCTTGATTGAAGCAAACATTGCATCAGGATGCTCCCCAATGATGATGAATGTGATCACAGCTTGAGTGAAGCAAACATTGCATCAGGATGCTCCCCAAGTATGATGATGATGAATGTAATCACAGCTTGAGTGAAGCAAACATTACAGCAGGATGCTCCACATGTATGATGATGATGATGAATGTGATTACAGCTTGAGTGAAGCAAACATTGCTGCAGGATGCTCCCCAGGTATGATGATGATGAATGTGATTACAGCTTGAGTGAAGCAAACACTGCTACAGGATGCTCCACGTGTATGATGATGATGAATGTGATCACAGCTTGAGTGTAGCCCCATAGCAAGCATCTATGACATTTTGAACACAAGCGGTGATGTTGAACAAGCTATCCCTCCACCGAGAGCTGCTCTCTGATTTACTTCTTCTGTAAATGCAGACACAACAAAATTTATAATTAATAAAGTAAGCAGCTCTTAAAAGCCTGAACCTAATTTGTTTATTTTCAACTTATAAATGATACAGTTATTAATAACAAGTAACGTTCTTTCAATTCTAATGTTGTTTCAGTTTTAAAATTAGCCAGTGAGAGTTGCAGAACCACTAAAGGTATGGAATGCAAGTGGACTGCATCTGAAAACGAATGCCTGAGGAGACTCATAAACAGTGGCCAAAAAAGTAAAGCAATAAGAGAAATGTCTGGACAACCACTGAAATCAACCGTTAAAGAAGATGTAGCCACTACTGGTGTATCAACAGCCGACCGTTCAAATAGCAATGGCAAACTAATGAATGTAAAACTGCCTAGTGAAATCACTAACAGCCAAAAATAAATGCTGGGGTTCTGTAACTTACTGTAAATCCCATGCAACTATTGCACATGCAACTAGAGCACATGTAACTAAAGCACATGCAACTAAATCCCATGCAACTAAATCACATGCAACTAAAGCAGATGCAACTAAAGTACATGCAACTAAATCACATGCAACTAAATCACATGCAACTAAAGCACATGCAACTAAAGCACATGCAACTAAAGCACATGCAACTAAATCCCATGCAACTAAATCACATGCAACTAAATCACATGCAACTAAATCACATGCAACAAGCACATGCAACTAAAGCAGATGCAACAAAAGTACATGCAACTAAATCACATGCAACTAAATCACATGCAACAAGCACATGCAACTAAAGTACATGCAACTAAAGCACATGCAACTAAAGCACATGTAACTAAAGCACATGTAACTAAAGCAGATGCAACTAAAGCAGATGCAACTAAAGCACATGTAACTAAAGCAGATGCAACTAAAGCACATGTAACTAAAGCAGATGCAACTAAAGCAGATGCAACTAAAGCAGATGCAACTAAAGTACATGCAACTAAAGCACATGTAACTAAAGCAGATGCAACTAAAGCACATGTAACTAAAGCAGATGCAACTAAAGTACATGCAACAAGCACATGCAACTAAAGCAGATGCAACTAAAGCACATGTAACTAAAGCAGATGCAACTAAAGCACATGCAACTAAAGCAGATGCAACTAAAGCACATGTAACTAAAGCAGATGCAACTAAAGCACATGTAACTAAAGCAGATGCAACTAAAGTACATGTAACTAAAGCAGATGCAACTAAAGTACATGTAACTAAAGCAGATGCAACTAAAGCAGATGCAACTAAAGCACATGTAACTAAAGCAGATGCAACTAAAGCACATGTAACTAAAGCAGATGCAACTAAAGCAGATGCAACTAAAGCACATGCAACTAAAGCACATGTAACTAAAGCAGATGCAACTAAAGCAGATGCAACTAAAGCAGATGCAACTAAAGCACATGTAACTAAAGCAGATGCAACTAAAGTACATGTAACTAAAGCAGATGCAACTAAAGTACATGCAACTAAAGCACATGCAACTAAAGCACATGTAACTAAAGCACATGCAACTAACTTTCAAAGCCTCAACAAGCATGTCGTAAAACTTTCTGGATTTGCTGAAATCATTCATGTTGGACTGAAAGCCGCAAATATCACAGCTTAGCTGTAAACCACAACGTGCCAACAGCCCTTCTAAGAGCAAACTCAGAAACAGAAAAAAGAATTACTGTGCAACAATCTACTATGCTCCTAACACAATCTTTAGCCCAATGTTCTTCATTCAACCTTGTTACACCACAATCATGGCTGTTCCTCTACCTCTGGACTTTGATCTTGCTCCAAAACTTGAGTTTGGCATGCATATCAAAGGATGTGTTAGGTCGAATGTCCAGATATCACAGCCTAGCTGTAAATCACAACACAACATACCAACAATTTCTAAAGGGTAGACACAGAAGAAGAAGATGATCCCCCCACAAACTTACCGTGTCAAAAACTTTAACAGGCTGAATGCTTGCTCCAGGTTTCTGTTTTGGATTAGTTTTATTAAATATTCTGTCACCATGGAGACGTCAGCCTCTTGGGGTTCTATCAACAGAATTTAATTTTGTTTAAAAAATCTTTTTTTATATAATGTCTATATTCAGTGTCTATACATAATTTCAAACTACACAACAATTCTCTATATAATTTCCATACATAAAATGTTCTTATTCAGTTTCTGTACATCAATCGGTCCTAATGTGGGACACAATTCTTGCTGTATTATAATGCCCCACCTCGGCAGTTGTCGGGGGCCATAAATATAACATATGGGCTAAATGGGGTTTCTGGGACTAGAGCCTGAGCAATTCTCATCCGAATGGTGGCACTTTGTGCGGTTTTGGTTCAGTTTTTCTATATTTCAATGTTTATCACCAAAATGTAAAACATGGGAAAACATGAGATCACAAAGGAAAGGGAGGGAAAAAGATAAAGAAAGGGAGAGAGAAAGGCATACTGAGAAAGAAGCCAGAGACACGGATATAAGAAGGGAAATATACTTCCTCATTATTATCAAATTTCCTGGGAAGTAATGGTGGCCAGCAAAGTGTTGACTACATCACTAGTCATGCGGTGATTCTTCTTCTTCTTCAGCGTTCTGAGCCCTTGAGGTTCATTTGCTGCAGATATCACCCGCCTCCACTTAACTCTCTAGTTGGCCTTCTCTTTCCAGTTGGTGACACAAAGACAGAATTATATATCCAGTTTCGTCCTTTTAGGACGAAATTTTTTGTCATTTGAAGCCCTACTCTGGCTTTTGCCAGGGGCCGCAATATAGGCAGGCCATACATATGGCCAGGTGTCTGAACGCGGTTTCTGGGACCTCTCCACGGCGATCCTCATCCGCATGGTGGCACTTTGTGTCGTCGGGTGTTTGTCGCTTGTGTGATGTCTTAGTGGGGTAGAAAGTCAGTCAGACAGAGTCAGAGAAAGACACAGAAACAAAGAGTTAAAGACAAAGAGGGAGAGTTGAGCTGAGTTGAGTTGAGTCGAGAACTGACATCCCAGCACTCGGGGCATTCCCATGCATGCTCTGTCCTCATCTTCAGCAGCCAGCGCAGAGTTCCAATACTGATGGTATCGGTCACAATCTGGTTAAAAGTCCGTCTTGCCTTTCCTCTGAGTGTAGTGAGCCGGCCAGACCCTCTGGTTACATCCAGGTGCCTCATTCTCTCCAGGCCATAATAATCGTCTTTCTCTACTGATTCTGTTGCTTGTTTCCAAAGGGCCTTGACAAAGAGGGAGAGACAAAGAGAAAGACAGAGATAATGACAAACACAGAGACACAGAGAGAGAAAGACTCAGAAAAGAGTGAAATATAAAGAGACAGAGACAAAGAGAGAAGATAAAGAGAAAAAGTCAAAGAGAGAAAGACAAAGAGAAGAAGACAGAGAAAAGAGAGAAAGAGAGGCAGAGACAAAGAGAAAGGAGAGAAAGACAAAGAGAGAAAGACAAAGAGAGAGAGACAAAGAGATAAAGACAAAGAGACGGAGACAAAGAGATAAAGACAGAGAAAGGAGATACAGAAAAATAGAGAGACAAAGAGAGAAAGACAAAGAGACAGAGATAAAGACAGAAAAGAGAGAAAGACAAAGAGAGAGAGAGACAGACAGACAGACAGACAGACTAAGAGAGAAATACAAACACAGAAAGAGACAGAGAAAGAGACAGAAAGACAATAAAAAGAGAGAAAGACAAAGAGATAGAGACAAAGAGAAAAAGACAGATACAAAGAGAGAAAGACAAAAAGACAGATACAAAGAGAGAAAGACACAGAGACAAAGAGAAAGAGACAGGAAGTCAGAGAAAAGAGAGAAAGACAAAAAGACAGAGACATGAAAGAAAGACAAAGTGACAAAGGCTAAGAGAGAAAGACAAAGAGACAGAGACAAATAAAGACGGGCAGAGAAAAGAGAGAAAGACAAAGAGACAGAGAGAAAGACAAAGAGACAGAGAGAAAGACAAAGAGACAGAGAGAAAGACAAAGAGACAGAGAGAAAGACAAAGAGACAGAGAGAAAGACAAAGAGACAAAGACTAAGAGAGAAAGATAAATACAGAAAGACAAAGAGACAGAAAGACAAGGAGACAGAAAAACAAAGAGACAGAGACAAACAGTGACAGAAACAAGAGAAAGACAGAGAAAAGAGAGAAAGACAAAAGAGACTGAGACAAAGAAAGAAAGACAAAGAGACAGAGACAAAGAGACTGAGACAAAGAAAGAGAGACAAAGAGACAGAGACAAAGAAGAAATACAGACAAAGAGAGAAAGAGACAGAGACAAGGAAAGAAAGACAAAGAGACAGAGACACAAACAGAAAGACAGAGACAAAGAGAGAACCCCCCCCCCCCCCCCCCCCCCCCCCGTTTTTTTAGGCGAAACGGCTAAGTTATTCCAGGTCAGCAACAACACTGTAAAAAAGTGACATAATTTTTGTGTGGATCCAAATATTAACAAAGTTTTAAAAAGAAGAAATAAAAGCCAACCTGAACAGGACATTATCCATTCCTTCATGAGTTTCCGAACATCACTGAGAGAGCTGGCTCCACAAAAAGTCAAATCTTCCAGCGGGTCTTCAACTGTGGGAACCAAAATTACAAGCCAAGTAATAATATACTGATCCTACTCTCAGCCCTCATTCTATGTCTGCCCTAACAGGGTGGTTGTATGCTGTGTTGCGGTTTACAGCAAGGTGATGACATCCGCAGCTGATGACCCAACACATCAAATCTCAGCAAACCCTAATTAGTGGTCTTTTAAGACATGCTTGTTACAATGCCTTATGCATTGCAAATATGCTTCATAATTCTCAGGTATCTGGTTCGATTCCAGCTGCAGGTGATCTGGCAGCAGACCGTCTTGTGTTGATTTCGACAGGGGTGTGAAGAGCTGATCATTCAGAAGCAATGGCAACCTATTGAATGTTGAGGTTTAAGGCTTAATCAACGGTTCAACATCATGGCACACGAGTAGTAACCCATAAGTGCTCCGTTCTACTTCTAACTCAAGTCTGAGTCTGAAGAAATTCAGCACAGTGCACAGGCAAGAATGCCCAGGTACTATCAGTCACAGCAGGCCACACTAAAATGTTACAACGGGTATAGAGCCAGTGGAAGGCCTCGGAAAATATGGAGTGTTGGCATTAAGAGCAGCCTTACAGAAATGAACATCAGTCTTAATAGTGCTCTTGACAGAGCTCATCAACGAACGTTACATCTCCCCCCGACACTTCATTGAGGTACAAGGTGAAAGAGGAGTAGAAGAAGAAGAATAAACAACACAGCAGCGGATGAATACTTGCAGTGGCTTCATGATACTTACTGAAAGATGGTTCGTCCATACGCCACTTCCTCAATAACAACAACAACACCAGTATTTCAGGAGTGTGCTAACAGGTGTCAGGGTTCTGCATTGTTTCTGAAACCTACCTTGACCTACCCGCACATTTGCTGCGGGCTGTAAATAGTCTGCTGGGACGATGCAATCATGTGGACAAGGTGAAACACCCAGAAGATTCTGTCGATCGCTGCTGTCTTCACATGCATAAATGTCCCTGCTGCCGCTGTTGCTACTGCTGGCATCCCCACCATCAATCCAGATGACCTCACCAGAGCTCAGATATGGTACCCGTGGTTTCTCATTTGTCTGGAATAACAGACATAACTGTAAGCTGCTAATGTATAGGATACATGTTCTCCATCGTTTGTGAAGTGATGGTATCAATGCCATGCGCTGCACTTACCGTACTGAAGAGCACACCAAAGGACATGGCGCCGTATCCCTGTCTAGACTGACAGACATGCGGGTGCAGTCTGGAGCTGCAAGAAATGAACATTTCACTAAGGGGACAAGATGTTTCATTAACCAACACAGAACAGGCGTCATCAGTCGTTTTACACTTGTGGAGTATTTAAGGAGGTGATCGAAGCACCTATGGATCTGTCAGAGTGCTGTGATGATAATCCTTTTTAATTACTAATCACTAATAGTTTGTCTGAGTGGCTTAAATGCATTGTGCCTGTTTAACTTCTTTGGGCATTTATTATCCTAGTTACCCCTCCAGGGTACAGGATACAAAGGAGCATAGAATTCAAATAATAAAAATCCCGGGATGGGTTCCAGGGCCCCACTGTGGGGAAAACATACTGCCTCTCCAACAAGCACGGCCTAGAAGTCGACTAGTTGGGGACTTCCTTTGAGGTCGGAGTGCATCTGCCCAAGCAGCAAGAAACAACCAGCTGCACACAAAAAGCCTGTAAAACGAATGTACATGCAAAACTAAGGCCCCGGCACAAAGCCAAAGTCCAAATGGATGAACAACCAGGAATTTCCGCCGCAGCTTACAGCCAGTGAACGAAGAAGATGAGATAATTTTTCTTTTTAAAGTAAAGTTTTCATAGCCATCTGCGTGGCGCGATGATTTATGTCACAGGCGTGAGGGAAAGTTAAGTCCAACATGATGTGTATAAGGAGATACTCCGTACGTCACTCGGGCGCCAGTCCTTCACTGTTCTGGTTTTACGGAACCTCAAGCAAGACCCCTGCAGCACGTCCTCGTCGTGCGCCACGGATAATGTCTCAAATGAGCATTAACAGAGCTGTCAGGGGATCTCGGAGTTTGGCGGCCCCCAGAGGTGTAGTGTCCTTGTGGCTCTCATCAGCCCGCCCCCAAATGCATGGGTGAAAAAGATTATCAAAACTCATTAGGAACATGAGTAAAGTCCTTGCCAAACGTATAACTAAAATTACAACCCTTGGTTACAAGATTGCAGAGTGAAGAGAACATTGTTCTACTGAGACTCAACCCTTGACCTAGAGATTTACCCGCAGCACAGACGAGTAACATCTCCTGTGGGTGGCGTCTCGCAGCAAGATTCTACCCATGTACATCTTTTGTTAACCCTCAGTGTCGTCATCACCGCGCTGAGGTACACCACAACAGCAACAGCCAATTGGCTGGCTAAGCCTAAATGTCCGACAAAACTAGATCCTACTGCACATGAGTAAGCTCAAAATCCGACCATCACAAATCGAATTGAATGGGAAAAAGTCCAAATGTCCACACCCAAAGACCCCACTCACCCGAGTGTTGGGACCAAACAGATAACGATACGCCTGACGCAGGATGTTAAATTCTGTCGTGCTAACAGCTCGTCAAAGTTATCTAACGTGCGAAGAAAAAGAATGTACCTATTCGTGTGGTCACAAAAGTCCAGAACCCGCGGGCTGCTCCCCGCTGATCTCTGGAGGGCACAGCCCTTGTCGAGCGGGAGGCCTAATACGGTTGTGAGGTTAAGCAGGCATGTGCAGGATGTGACGATTCTTTGGGTGAGCCCAGAACCAGAGCGCCATGTGCCGACATGGAAGCCTCCTTGGCTGGCAGAGAATGCCCATGATCTGCCCCTGCCTTCCCTTGAGGGATAACCGTTCCACAAGGGGCTGCCCCAAAGGTGTACTCCGGGGGCAACACCTGCGGAGAAGACGACAAAGAGGACACCACACAAATCAGGCAACCTCTCGACCCACACAAAACAATGGCCACAGTCATTCTAGAAATAGGCCTGACGTCTTCCCTCGAAGTCGGAGTACATCTGCCCGCGAGGCAGGGAACAGTAAAATGGTTGTACACACAAAACTCAGGTCCAGGTAAAAGCCAAAAATCCAAGCGGACGATTAACCTGGACCTTCCGTCGAAATTCACAGCCGGTGAATGAAGAAGAAGAAGGAGGATAACCATCTGCATTTTATTTTTCTTATTTGCATTCACCAGATGCAAATTTTGGCAGAAATTCCTGGTTGTTGTCCACTTCTGGACTTTGGTATTGTTCCAGGATTTGAGTGTTGAATGTACATCCAGTTTACACATTTGGCTTACTTGTGTGCAGACTGCTGGTTCATTGCCTCACAGGTAGAAACACTCCAACTTGGAAGGAAACATCAATCCTATCTAAACATGCCAGGTTGCCACATGGGAACCTATCTATAGGATGGCCACAGACAGGTGCAGATGGTCTTAACCAGTATAAACCATGGTTCTGGTGCAGCACCACATGTGATTCAGGTGCAACACCACACGTGGTTCAGCAATTCTGCATCCCAGTCAGGCGTTTGACCAGTCACTGTTTTATAGACAATCAGCATTTAATGGGTAATGTTGTTAACCTCGAACAGGTCAGTTTTACCTCCTAAGACATGTCCTGCTACCAATTTTAGGCTGAGCTGACCTAGGAATTCACTCTAAATGTCTCATGGAAAATTACATAGTGGGGCCCAGTCCCATTCATTGTGCAACTCTTACCACATTCTGAAAATCACAAGAGAGCCAACACAAGAAGGAACAGGTTACCAGCATTTGACAAAGAGTTGGAATAAAACCACATCTGGATTATATTGACAGACAAAGAATGATTTGGCTTAACCATCTAGTGAGAATGCAGCCAAACCAAACTGCATATAAGACTTTTTTTTCTTTCAAACAGATGAATATCAGGAAGGAGGGTGAGAGGAAGACCAAGAAAGATGTGGATAAATGGCATAGCTGAAACCTGCACCCAAGCCACCTGAGAAGTGAAGACAAATACAGAAAACTACAACATTGGGCTACATCTGGTATCAGTGAAACAACAAAAGAAGAAGAATCACAAAAGAGCAATTTTTTTCTTCTTAAAATAAACTGTTGAACATGGAAATCAAACTATATTACTCTATGTGGCATGTGGGTTCTGAGACCCAATTGGGGAGGGGGGGGGGGGGGGAATTGATCCACTGCCACTTAACAAGCATGTTGTAAAAGGCGGCTAATTAGGGACTTGCTGAAATCAAATACGTTGGGCTGGAAGGTGCAGATATCACAGCCTAGCTGTAAAGTACAACGAATGTCAACTGCCCTTAATAGGGTGAACGCAAAGAAAGAAGAAGAACCCTAGTACTTGAGGATCATGACATTGTTCAATGCAATCCCTAACCTCTAAACTACACAGTGGCACCAAAAATGTGAAGGCCGCTAGATAAACCTCAAGGGGCCCTTTTCACGCCAGTGATGCACCAGGCATAGGATACTACACATATTTTCATAGACCAATAAGCCCTCAATAGGTCATGCGGTCAACATCATTGCCAGCCACCTTTACTTCCGTGGACATTTCTTGGTACCTACTTTAGGCTGGGTCAAGCTGGGAGCCAATGTCTTTTCTTTTTCTAAATCAGATTTAATACAAATCTGAATCCAAGATCTTTGGGCTGGAAGCAGAGTGACTAGCCGCTACACTACCATAGCTATAAAAAAAAAATGAACATCTAGAATTATACCTGACGATCATTGTCTCTTCTATGAGACAAGATTTTGCTGTTGCCGAAGTTGAGTGCTCTCTTTCCAGGCTGACGACCTCTTGTACTCGGCTTCCTGGAAGTTTTCACTACAGCCTGTCTGCCTTTGTTACTCTTTGATGGTGACTTTAACTCTGTTAAGTGTTCCTGTAAATGAAACCAAAATATACTGGTACACACGTTTCCTGTTAATGAGGCAGTTTTTAACTTCTAGGTGGCGACCACTTTGGGGGGTCGAACAATCCCATCACAGGGGTTGCCCGAGACTATCGAAAAACACATATTCACTGAAGTTGTGTAGTAGCAACGAAAATAATGTTATGGCTGGGGGTCACCACAACATGAGGAACTGTAGTAAAGGGTCGCTGCATTGGGACGGTTGAGTATCACTGTGTTAATCATCAAAATATACTGGTATATGTTTTCTGTAAATGAAACCAAAATACTTTGTACATGTTTCCTGTAAATTAAATTATATATAAATACTAGCTGTATCTGGCCACGCGTTGCTGTGGCCTAGTTTAGCTAAATGGAAATGAAAGAAAATAAAAATTGCACGTGTCTAATACAATCATTGTCTGCTCAGATATAGAGATAGTCTTTGATCTACACCCCCCCCCCCCACCCCACAACTAAATCCACCTACTACCCTCTCCCTTATCAAAGGTTTTTGGAAAAGAAAGACAATGGAAATCGCACCTGTCTAATATAGTTAATGTCGCAATCATTCTCTGCACAGATATAGAGATAGTCTGGTTTTCCAACTTTAGAACACGCACCATATAATTGTGTCTTTATATTAGTGGTCGTCTAAATGGTGCTATTAGCAAGGTAACAAAAGTGGTTATTGGGTTATCACATGCTAAAGCTGTTTGTATTTTTATAGGAGACGGAAGTAAAGCTACAACTGTACTTGTAAATAACAAAGTAAGTCGTAAAAAATAGAAAAGCGGAGGTAGCGTTAGTAAAATATAAACAAATTAGGTAATGAGAACTTGAAAATCACGTGCAAGGCACTTTAAGTTCTCTTAAATTTAAGTCATTACCCCCCTCCCCTCTCCTCTTCCACCGACTACTGCTCTCTCCCTCTTCGAAATATTTGAAAATCATTACCTGGCAATATTTTGTTGTTGCTGTAACTGACATTGACATCCCTGTCCATCTGGACTAAAATGGGGAGCAGGAATTGTAATAGATAGTGAATGGGGCTAGTGTAATATTTACCACATCATCCTTCAAGTACCAGTACAACTACTAAAATAATGTCACTGCTATCTGTGTTACCATTGGAGTAGACAGAGAGTCGTGAGCCAGAAGATTTGGTTCCGCATGGCTAGTGCTGTCGCCACAGACTGGTCAGGTTAGGATGTATAATTTCACTTGCCGACAGAAGAATGCCATAACCTTACCGGCGGTCTTCACATGAGAGCACTATGGTGTAACAGCCCAACCACAACTATTACTGCTGCTGCTACTTTAAGTGGGTAAAGAAGTTACTGTGACTTAAAGCTCTCTCAGTAAATAGTTTGCCCCCCCCCCCTCTCCCAAATTCACCGACAACTCTTTCTCTCATTTAAGTAGTTGGGAGGGAAAAAAAACACTTGAAAAGCAAATGAACACAGGAAAAAAACACCATAATTAGGAAATGAACGCCATGGTAAACAGCACAGCTTAAAATTCCAACGCAGATGAAATAACTAAATCTAAATGAAAATAAATGAAAATCTATAAGATTTCAGCGTAAACATGCAATCGGAAAGTTTATAAATGCAATCATAAGTATGCGAAATGGTCAAATTTAATTATCAAATGGTTTACCCATTTACCTGTCTTTTTTTTTTTTTTTTATATTAAGGCAACGTGGCTAGTGCTGTCACCACGACAGAGCAGATGAGGATATTATTTTAGTTCGGGGTAAAAAAAAATATTAACTACTGCGGATTTGAACCCAGGTCTCCCGCACAGGAACCCAGTGTTCTAACCATTTGACCAAGCAGCCAATTAATCGGATAAACGAAAAGAGAACTTAACTATTAGAGATATGTGTCCCTACTACTGTGTCCTGATTAAAACACAATTCAAAACGGCAGGCAATTGTTTTCTCATAGACAGATACTCCAGATATATTAATGAAACGGCACAACGATAGAAATCGCACGTGTCTAACACGGTTAATGAAGTTAACGTCGCAGTCAATGTCTGCGTCGACGTCGAGATAGTCCTTGATTCCCCCCCCCCCCCCCCCCCCCCCCACCCACATCAAAGGTTGTTTGGAAAAAAAAACAGAAAATAGAAATCGTGTTTAATATGGTTATTGTGGCAAATATAGAGATAGTCTTGTTTGCTGTACCTCGACCTACTCTATGTATTAGAGAAGGCGTTGGCTGCACGTAACTCGCCGGCGAATGGCGGAAGCCTTGCGTTCTGACTACGGCGGCGCATGCGCAATTACTAACGTGGCTATAATTAGAAATCACTAAAGTTATAAATATTAGTTTCGAATATTATGGCTTAATATGTGGTCACCTATCTCTAACAGCGACAGGTTGAATTTCAAACCATGATGGTTCAACATCCGGTATCAAAACAAACATATCCTGAAAATTTCAGCTAAATCGGTTCAGTAGTTTCCGAGTCTATAGGGGGCAAACAAACACACAAACATTGATTTTTATATATATATATAAATATATGTATATGTTCGTGTGTGTGTGTGTGTGTGTGTGTGTGTGTGTGCGAGTGTGTGTGTGTGTGTGTTTTAACTTCTGTTTTTTTGCCTTAAGAATGCACTCTATAGATGACCACCTCATGATTGAGAATCGAGCAAGTATAAATCTTAGAAACTAATCAACCACATAACATTGCGAAATAACCTGTTGTACAATAAATGTGGGTCATAAACATGTTTTTGTTGCAAAATATATTGAATAATTTCCCTGTTATCTTCTTCTGCTTCACGTTCACCCCCATAAACTCCAGGTGGAAAGTTTGGGTTATTCACTCACGTATATACTTTAGTCTTGTTCAAGAACCTGATTTTTAGGTGCACATCCGTTTTACAGATTTGACTTATATGTATGCAGACAGTTGGTTGCTTCCCTCTCAGGCAGGTACACTGTGACTAGGAAGGTTAGTTAGTTAGTCTTTCCTTTTGGGCCTAGGGCGGCACATAAGGCTGAGGTCATAGCTTTCCATGTCTGGCGGTTCGTTGCCAGCTGCTTTAGGTCTTAGATTTTTGTTAAACCCATGGTTGAGCCTTCCCTGATGATGGTTCTACACAGACTACCCTTGAAGGTAGCCCCTAATCATTCGCCTCTTATGTCAGGCTTGTTGGAGAGACAGGTCTATTCTTGTTTTTTTCTGGAACCCACACTGGGACCACTCCAATTAATCTACACACTTACCCTTAGCCCCAAGTTCCTACTTGACCATCTGCTCTTTCTTAACTACCCACGTTTAATGTGCTCTTTCACATTTTTTGCTCCTCCTCAGCCATCCACTCTTCCTTGATCGCCCATTCCTCATGGACCACTCGATTCTTCAATATCAACCAGATTCCTTGACCATCTGCACCACCTCAGCCACTCAATCAGCCGCAAGATTCATAATTCACACATCCACTCTTATTTGAGCATCTGCTTTTTCTATGCCCCTCCATTCACCTCCCCCCTCTCAACCACCCACTCCTCTTCAACCATCTACTCCCCCTCAAACACCCACTCCTTCTCAACCATGTACAGCCCCTCAACCACCCACTCCTTATCAACCACCCACTCCTTATCAACCACCCACTCCTTATCAACCACCCACTCCTTATCAACCATGTACAGCCCCTCAACCACCCACTCCTTCTCAACCATGTACAGCCCCTCAACCACCCACTCCTTATCAACCACCCACTCCTTATCAACCACCCACTCCTTATCAACCACCCACTCCTTCTCAACCACCTACTCATCATGAACTGCTTGTTTTTCCTTCATTACCTTCCCCTCCTCAGCCACACTTTTCCCATAATGCCTTTACAACACTTACAAATAACAACAAAACATACTCACTTCTGCAAGAGCTGCCTTCTTGTCTGCTGACCTCTGTGATGTCACTTCCTGTCTGGCATATTCAACCCGCAGCTCATCTTGAAGATGTAAGGGCAGAGCATGAAAGCAGCTCAAGTCCAGCTTAACAAGCAAAAGAAAATCATCATTCTTTAAAAGTGAAGAAAGAAGTAAAACATAATCAATCACAGCTGTCACTAAAGTGAGCAAACTGCAAAAATCTCAGTGAATAAAAATGACAAAAGGGTACTGGACAGGACACACATTAACATGATCTGATGATAACTCAAATGCCCTAGATGCGGTCAAGGCACTCTGTGAGTGAGTGAACAGTGCAAAGCCACAAACAGATCATCATGGCTTAAAGTGAACAGTGCAAAGGCACAAACAGATCATCATGGCTTGAAGTGAACAGTGCAAAGACACAAACAGAATTATTCCTAAATGTGTAATAAAAAATCAATGGTGTTATTTTGGGACAAGTACAAAAATTCTAGTATCTAGGCACATGGATAACATCAGATGGAAGATGCATTACAAAAAAAAAACAGAATAGGACAGGCAAAAACTGCATTATTTAAAATGAAGAACATCTTATGCAATATATCTTTGTCATTGAAGATTACAAAAATAATTCTTGCTTGCTACATACATCCAGTTGTAACAAATGGCTGTGAATCCTGGACAATCGGTAGGCAGGCCAAACAATTTTTAGAGGCCTCAGAGATGTAGTTTTACAGAACAATGCTCAAAATACCTTGGACAGCCAACAAGAGCAACCAAGAGGTTTTGAAAGAGGGAACCCGAAGACAACTAATCACAGACATCAGAAGGAGACAGTCATCATTTTTCAGCCATGTTATGAAAAGAGGGAAAATGGAACATGTGGTGATCACTAGAAAGATCTGTGGAAGGAGGAAGGATAGAGGAAGACAACGAGAGAAGATTCTTGACAGTCTTGTTGCATAGCACTGAGGTGTGTCAGCACACAAACTAATAGATGCTGCAGGAGATCGCAGATTGTGGCGAGGCATAATCACCCACCCCAGTCGGCAAGGCACCTACCTGATGATGATAATGCACTATTCGTATTATGCCAAATAGTGAAAATCACTATTCGGTGCAGCCCTAGTTTAAAGTGAACAGTGCAAAGGCACAAACAGATCATCATGGTTTGAAGCAAACAGTGCAAAGGCACAAACAGATCACAATGGTTTGAAGTGAACAGTGCAAAGGCACAAACAGATCACCATGGTTTGAAGTGAACAGTACAAAGGCACAAACAGATCACCAGTGTTTGAAGTGAACAGTACAAAGGCACAAACAGATCATTATGGCTTGAAGCAAACAGTGCAAAGGCACAAACAGATCACCATGGTTTGAAGTGAACAGTGCAAAGGCACAAACAGATCATTATGGCTTGAAGCAAACAGTGCAAAGGCACAAACAGATCACCAGTGTTTGAAGTGAACAGTGCAAAGGCACAAATAGATAATCATGGTTTGAAGCAAACAGTGCAAAGGCACAAACAGATCACCAGTGTTTGAAGTGAACAGTGCAAAGGCACAAACAGATAATCATGGTTTGAAGTGAACAGTGCAAAGGCACAAACAGATCATTATGGCTTGAAGCAAACAGTGCAAAGGCACAAACAGATCACAATGGTTTGAAGCAAACAGTGCAAAGGCACAAACAGAAAATCATGGTTTGAAGCAAACAGTACAAAGGCACAAACAGATAATCATGGTTTGAAGCAAACAGTGCAAAGGCACAAACAGATAATCATGGTTTGAAGCAAACAGTGCAAAGGCACAGATAATCATGGTTTGAAGCAAACAGTACAAAGGCACAAACAGATAATCATGGTTTGAAGCAAACAGTGCAAAGGCACAAACAGATAATCATGGTTTGAAGCAAACAGTACAAAGGCACAAACAGATAATCATGGTTTGAAGCAAACAGTGCAAAGGCACAAACAGATCATCATGGTTTGAAGTGAACAGTGCAAAGGCACAAACAGATCATCAGTGTTTGAAGTGAACAGTGCAGAGGAAAGTGACCAGGAGATTTGACCAATACACAACATTCAGAGCAAGGCAAAATGATATACAATCAATACTGCTACTGGAACCAATAGTGATGTGATGTTGGTACACAACTCAACTATATTCTGGCCTTACAGCAGAACCCAGAGAGCCAAAGAAACAAAGACCAAAACACACACGGAGAAGAACCTTATCTTCTTGCATTTCAGATTCCAGTGGAACATAAGCTCTCAACCAACTCCTATCAAGTCATTTGTAGATTTATACACCTTCCTCTTGTTAGCATTCACATGCTGTAAACTCCAACAGAGAGTTATATTTAACCCATTCTCTTCATAAGCGTGGCCTCAGCAAGACCCTGAACATGGGTATATTTCTTCTACAGTGCCCTCAAATTGCTCTGCTGTCATTTGTTCTTTGACTAGCTGCTGGCTGAACAGTTAGAATGCTGGGTTCTCAAGCGGGACACCCAGGTTCAAATACTCAGTAAGGCTGGGGATTTTTTTCAGTCGAGGGCGAAATAAAATCCTCACCTGCACAGTCATGGCAACAGCACTGAGCTATGCCACTCGTAAATCCTCAGGCTCAAAGACCCCCTGCCAACACCACAAAAGTTGTTTTGGCAGGTTTTTTGGCAGATTGTGTTGTTAAATGTGCCCATTCAAAAGCCATCCTATCTTTGGAAAGATAAGCTTCATCGACTCAACACTTTGCTGTGCCTCCATCGCGACAACCACAATCGGTTCACTATGTCACGGAGAGCTCCTATCTTGTTTGCAGGTAGTTTTCAATGGGATGAGGGTGCCAGCTTCACCATCGGTTCACTATGTCACGGAGAGCTCAGCTCTTGTTTGCAGGTAGTTTTCAATGGGATGAGGGTGCCAGCTTCACAACAGCTGTATTTGCCATGGGAATATATTTACCTGAACTACTCTACAGATGTTACAGATGTGGCATATGGAGACTAGGGCTGTTATTACGTAGATGTGATGTTGTCACACTCTGGGGAGACTTTTAAGTGATCAGTCTTTTACACCAGATGTTAAAGTACTACAGCGTTAAAAACTAACTTCTTGGTAATTTTATGAAAAAAAGGAGCACTGGAGAATGTCATAATGAGTGGAAAAATCACTTGTAGAGGAGGCAGAGGCAGACCAAGAGAAAGGATGGATGATGGCTTGAGACAGTGCCATGGAGGAATATCATCAGTGAAATTGATCCAGAACACCAAAGGCCAAGATCTTTGGAGATGCATGCTGGCAGTGCACTTGATGATGATGAACCATCACCATGTGCCTAGGTGCCATGTTGGCTAGAATGGACAGTCATTGAATCCCCAGACTTTTGGATTAGTATCTGTTCCTAATTTCTCTCTATTGTGCCATTTAACAAGGTACTTAGAAAAAAGTATCAGACCCTTTTCATGCAAATAGCGTAGTCGGCATATAATGCTAGACCCATTTTTTTATATACATCAATATATACAAGTGATTCTCCTCCATACGCGACTCAAACGGGACAGTCAACTCAATCAAGATGAGCTGCCGTTTTTGCGCAGAGTGGAGAACTATGTCCGGTCGCAGGCCGGTCTTATGGATAAACTCGGGGTACCTTTCATGGCCCGGCAGATCAACCGCCAGTAACCAGACCCTGGCAGTCTAGCACAGATGGAGCGAATGCGTTTTGGTTGACCTTACCTTTTGGAACCTGCCCAGCCTTGAGGAAACGAATGGGGACGATGCTAGAACTGGCTCTGGCGTTAGCCCCCATTCTAGCCTGGTCGACAACGGCTGCTAACTCTTTTAGCACCTTGTTGTGTCGCCAGGTCTTGACCTAGGGCTTTCCTGCACGCGGACAGGACGTGCTCAAGAGTTTGCTTCGATTTACACAACGGGCAAGTCAGATCGTTGGTCGCAGACCATTTAACCATGTTAACACCGGACGGTAATACATCGTACGCCGAACGAACGATAAAGCTCAGTCGCAGGGGGGTCATCCGCCAGATCTCACCCCATGTGAGTACTCTTGGCAATGCGCTCTCCAGGCTGACCCAATGGCCCTGCTGCGACTGCTGGGCTGCTTTCTGGACCCGAACCTCGTTTTCGTTGTCCCTCACCGTTTGTATTACCATGTCTCGGCGCTCTTTGGCTGAGGCCTTTGACCAACAATTGACCTTCCCGTGCCCTAGGCCTCGATGATCGGTCTGAGTGTATCCCATTATCTCTTTCAATTTTAGTGCGTTCTGGGCAGATTCTATCGCATCGAGGACCCTCCACTCTGGCCAGTCTTTAGAGCGGGCTGGACAGCGATGACATTTGGGTCTGAAGACTCGCGCAATAGCATGGCGAGCCTTACCTTGCCGACTTTAAACTCTTCGGTTATTGATTTGAACGGAAGTACCAGCTTAGCCTGCTTGCAATACAGAGCCACGTCGGTCAGACAAGGCGGTGCACCAATCCACTTTCTCAAGGCTGTGTTGATTTTCTTCTCCATGGTTTCCACTGCAGTCATCGTCACCTCGTAGACTAACAGTGGCCATAGGAGCTCTGGAATCAACATAAATTGGAGACACCAAACCTTGAATTTCCCGATCAGCCTGCATCGCTCGATCGCGAGCAGGCCTGTAGCCAGTGACTCGTGTATTCGCCGGACTTCCGCTCTATCAGATAACTTCGAATCATAAAAGCAACCGAGACTCTTCACCGGTTCATCCAGAACCGTAGGGATCTTGTTCCTTGCCATCGTAAAACTGGTTGCCGACACCCTGCCCTTAAGGATTGACAGACTCCTCGACTTCTGCGGTTTGAACTGCATACCGCTCCATTGGACCACCGCGTCAAATCTTTTCAGGATCGTGCGGGCAGACTCCTCGCCGCCCGTTATTATAGTCGTGTCATCCATAAAAGCGCGAAGTGGCGGCAACCAGTGATCCCCTATTTGAAGGCCCAGTCCGTAGCCGGCCGCCCCGTCTAACATGATCTGCATTGCTATGACAAACAGTATGGGTGAGATCGTACAGCCCATAGCTATCCCAATCTGCAACTCAGTCCACCTCGTGGTAAACGTCGAGGTAGAGAAGCGCAAAGCGAACTTAGAGAAATATTGCTCGATCATATCATTGACCTGTGCCGGTACGTGGAACATGCGAAGAGCTCGCCACAGTAGCCTATGGGGGACTGCCCCGTAGGCGTTGTCTAAGTCCAACCAAATCACGTGCAATTGAGTTCTCTCATGCTTGGCTCTCTGGATAGCCTCCCAGATCATGGTTGCGTGTTCAAGGCACCCAGGAACGCCCGGAATACCACCCTTCTGAACACTCGTATCTATGTACTTGTTAGCCATCAGATACTGTGTGAGCCGGCGAGTCATGACCGAGAAGAATATCTTACCCTCGACATTCAACAGCGAGATGGGCCTGAATTGGGAAAGACTCTTCGAGTCCTGCTCTTTGGGAATGTAGACCCCATTTGCCTTTGACCACTCTGGACATATGTGTTTACGGATCCACGCTTGTTTCAACAAGACGTGAAGCATTTTTAGGATTTTCGGGCAACGCTTGTAAAGAACGTACGGAACACCGTTCGGACCTGGGGCAGACTTTTTGCTGGCCTTTTTCAAAACTTCCTCAACCTCAGACCAAAGGTGAGGTATCATTTTAAATGGTACCTTCGGCACCGAAGGCTGTTTGAGGCCGCTAAGGATCTCTGGATTGTCATCGAAAGGCTCTCTCCTCTTTTTGTCAGAGTACATCTTGCGTAGATGTAGCTCAAGTTCTTCCTGACTGACAACCAGAGTCCCAGACTTCGGTTGCTCGAATAGACCTCGGGCAAACTGATACGGGTCCCTAAAGAATTTCTCTCGCTCCCTTTTGGTTCTCCGTCTGTTGTTACAGAAACGCTCGGCGCGACAGAGGGCACTGTGTTTGTTCTTTAAATGCAACCAAACTTCGTACAGCCCCTCCTGTTCGCTACCTGTAGCGGCTTTGAACCGTTTTCTGAGGGCATTCTTGTCTGCCCGACACTTCAGAATGTCCCTCTGCCTCCTGCTAGTATTCTGCTTGGCACCCGGCTGTGCCTTCTGCACTGTCCCGAACTTGCGGGAGCAGTGTTCATATATTACATCACCAAATTTTGTAAGCTTGTCGCCTAACGACTTCTTGTTTAAATCATGTTTAAGTACCTCACATAATGTAGCCTCCAACTTACACCACACCACCTTCTCGCTCGCAGGTGGAAACCTGATTCTGGAACGCACTTCTTCAGAAATCATCAAAGGTGCTCCTCCGCAGTCGGCGTCATGGGCCTCTCCGGGCGAGTGGGGTTCACCCAGCCCGTCCTTCCCTGACGACTCAGAAACTACCACAGGAATAGTAGTTTTGCGACGGCATTTACTGCGTGGAGCACCCTCGCATTTCATTCTTCCGGCATGCGTTCTCAGACCATGCAACCCCGTGAAGCTTTTCCCACATGTACAGAGCCAGCCCGGACGTTGGGCGAGTATCTGAGTCCGGGGGCTAGCATAGTCGTCACCGAGAGTATCAATTGGATTGGGCCCTTCATTCTTCCCCCCTTTCGGAGGGCCCTGGGGGCATATTTCTATGTGGTTGTACAAAATCGGAGGTATTATACTGTGTTAGGGGTGATCAACCCGGTCCACAGTCGACATCTGTCTCCAGATGTCAGTTTATCCCCCCGGCAATACCGGGGGGCCAGTCTTTCCATAGGTGTCACAAGGTCTTTCCCGAGAGTCACCAGTCTTTCCTGGTAGTCTTGTGGGCTAGCCACGTACAATAAGAATAAACTCACAGGGAGCAAGTACAGCGGGGATCTACAGTCATCAGTAGAAATTATCCTCGTCAACGAGCGTTTCGGCCCACGATTCCTAGACGCATTCGGAGGTGGGCCCTCCTGAGTTCATGAAGCTCAGGGCTGGTTCCCTGCTGCACGGGATTACCGGATGGTGTTTTACTTTCGACCAGAGACAAGACGACTTGGTGGTTTGCAGAAGGTACTGTGAGATAAGAAATCGCAGCGGCAGCCGAGCGACAAGCTTACGATTGGTTTACCGGACACATGTTGGACTTTTATTAGCAGGTGGCAGAGGATTACTGGCAGACAATTCGGACACGATGGACTTTCAAGGGGTGAGAAACCCTTTTCCACTAGACACCCGGACCAGCTCACCGAGGCCCGTCCCCTACGTTGTTGCGTTGCGTCCAAAGCCAGCTAGAGGCCCTTTCGGCTACCTCTCCCAGTTTTTTGAGTGTTCGTTTCCGTTCATTACCGCGCAATCCTAGTTCTTTAACCACATTGTAGAGAGAAGTGGAAACGAGGCCTCTCGCTCCCACTTCGACGGCAAAGACCCGTTCTGTGTACGCCTCGTTTCTCCTCAAACCGGCTGCTAAATCACTGTATTTCTCGAGCTTATACAAGTGATTTTCCTCCATACGCGACTCCAACGGGACAGTCAACTCAATCAAGCTAGTGCTTCTGCGTAACCAGTTGAAAAATCTCGACTTGCTTTAATCTTGTTCAACTTCTTCAGCATTCAGAGTCCTTAAGGTACACTGCACGTATATTATCTCTTCACTGTCATCCAAATCTGTCTCGGTATCCATTTACTCCCATTTAACTCTTTTGTGTACAGTTTTTTCCATCATCTGCCGTTAAATATTGTGTGTGTGTGTATATATATATATATATATATATATATTCTTCAGTGTTCATCCTCGACAGGGTTGTTAGCACATTGTACTGTGGTTTACAGCTATGCTGTGATGTATGCACCTTTTGACTCAACACATCCAGCATCAAGCAATTCTCTAATTTCCAAACTGTGTGCTGTGGCACCCCAGGGAGCCGCGACCTCTTCACAGGGGCGCCACAAAATATTTGAAGATACACAAGTTTTATTTTTGTTATCTCTCATACACGAATTGTCATACTTTTAACTAGGTTAAGGCGCCAATGAAAAATTTGAATTGAAAAAAAAAAGCGCCACAACCAAGAAAAGTTTAGGAAACACTGCCCTCATTATTTACCTTGAGGCCATGATTGTTAAGAAGCAGTGGATCTATTCTTGTCTCCCCCCACCACAAAAATAGAGAAGCCAGAACCCACACAGGGTTCCGTTCTACATATCTAATTCCAAATTAAATTTACAAATACAAAAATCCTGCTAGGAATTCCGGCAAGTTGCCTGAAGACAGCACAAGACATTTGGAATCTAATTTTACCTGGGACAGAGAAGGCAATCTGCCAGGAAATACTGCAGCTTCAGCAGATATACCTGAGTCTTGCACAGGCAAAGTACCATTTGTGTTGGCCGAAGCACACTCAGGAGTCCAGGCTGGTGATACCATAGATGAACCTGTCTTCCGCTGCCTTCTCACTCTCAAATCTTCCAAAATCTCTTCAGCTATCTCCACAGGCAACTCATGCAGGACACTGGAGTCAATCTGAGAAGAAAAACTGTATTTCACACAGCTACCAACTATTAAACTCAGACGAATGTGAAATGGCAAGAAGGGAAAGAAAGAAGAGGGTTACATGGGCAGACAGAAAGAAAGAAAGGGAATAAAGGAAGGGATGGAAGATTTTTATATGGACAGATGGAAATTATCAAAGAGAAGGAAGAGTGGGAAAAGGTTTAGATTAACAAACAGAATGAGAGGAAATAAAGGAAGGAAATAAAGAGGGTTATATGGACAAATATAAAAAACATTTTAATGTATGGAAATAAAGGAAGAAAGAGAAAAGGGGTTTTATGAACAGACAGAATGAGAGGAGGCTATATTTCTTTCATGGCTTCACAATCTGAGGAGTCAAGAAGAAAATGAGAGAAAGAAGGAAGAAAGGAAGATGAAATCCTTCACCTCAACATCGGGATAGAAGGAATAAGAGCAGAGGCAAGACAATATTAAGTAGTTAAGGAAAAGATTAGAAAAAAAAAAGGAAGAATGAATGAAAGGAAGAGGAATTGGAGTATTTGGAGAAGAAACCAGAATAGTAAGCATTGACAAACGAAAAAAGGTAGAAACAATCATTTTGTGACTTCCCCGTTGGGGCTGGTGTCTATAATTTCTTTTCTTCTTATTGTACTACTCGCTGATAAAGGCTTCGATCAAAATTTTATATTGTTTCTGTTTGCTTTCTTCCCTTCCTCACTTTGTTGGGCTTTCTTGCTACAGTCTGTGATCATTGAATTTAGAAACAATGACTTGGAAAAAGTTGGCTCAGTGTCTACGCTCCATTGGGGGAATTACAAAAAGAAGCCGGAGACAGCTCTTAAAATATCCCATAAAGCACCTCATTTTAACATTAGTATCTTTTTCTTCTTCTTCCTCCTCCTCCTTCTTTTTCTTCTTTTGCTTCTTCTTCTTCTGCTTCTCCTCCTTCTCCTTCTTCCTAGCATTCACCATCTGTAAACTCTGGCAGAAAATTCTGGTTCTCCCTCCACTTCTGGATGTTTGTCTTGTTCCAAAACTGGAGTTTTCCATGCAAATCCGTTTTACAGATCTGATTTATTTTTATGCAAACTGTTGGTTCCTCACTTCTCAGCAAACACACTCCAATTTTGAAAAATGAATACCTAATTAGTTGATTCTTACGACACGCTTGTTGGGGGCAGTGGGTCTATTCTGTTCTTCCAAAATATGCCCAGAACCCACACAAGGATGCTTCTTCACTCAATTTTGTGTATTTCTTCTTCTTTATTCATCATCAACTGTTTCTTCGTTCAAGTTGTAATATATCTTCTCCTTATTCATTCAACTTTATGTGATTCTTTTTCTTCTTTTGAACGTTGAATGCTGAATTAAGAATCGACATTACAGCACTCAAGACACTCCCACACATGCTTGTCCCCATCTTCAGCAGCAAGAAAAGAGTTCCAAAACTGATGGTACCAGTAACTTCTTCTTTTGTCGACTCTAAGTATAAACAGAAACACAAAACTTAAAATGTTATCAAAAGTAACACCAGCAACAAACAAATACTTGGGACTCTGAAAGAAAGCTAGCATTCTCTTCAAATTTCTGGCCACGATTTGTTCTTGTTTCTGAAACATCAACTCTCCAGCTAGGACCAGGGATGTCAAAGTCACTCACAGAATTCACAAGCAGCTTTGAATGTGCAGAAGAGTTTATTTTCTGAACAGATGAACTGTGGTCATGAACTAACGGGTTCACTTTCTCAGAGTAAGCTTTAGTTCCAGAAACTGATTTCGTTTTATCCATATTAGAACAAGTTTCTGGTCTTGAGAAATGAAGATGTGTGTTGTAACTGCTGTTGACAGATCCATTTTGTGTGGTGCAGGTAGCTTTATGAAATATGTTAGGTGAATCTGAGATATCCGTATTCCCTGTAGTGCTTGGTTTAAACCTCAGTGTCTGCCGTTGCACAGATAATTCTCTTTTGGAGCTTCGTAAAGATGTGTATGGCGAAGTGGAGGAGGTGTTGTTGCAGCTTGAACTAGTAACAGCTGAGGAGGTGGTGGGTGGAGATATACAGTATGTTGTTGCTGCACACTTGATGCTGGTGGTGGTGGTTGCCAATGAGGAAGCTGCTGAGTCTGTGGTGGCTGTAGTTGAGGAAACAGCTGAGCCAGTGGTGGTAGTGAAAGCTGCGAATGAGGTAACATTTGAGCCAGCGCTGGCAGTGGTATGTGAGGATCTGTGGACAGTGAAGCTGGTGATGTCCTGGTACCCAGACCCTCGTGCTCCGGAAGCAGCCCCTTTAGCTTTTACTGTTCTCTCCAGCTTGTTGATGTGTATGCCAATCTGTGAGAATACAGCAAGTTATGCTTTATCTGTGGCAAGCACCTCAGTGAGACTGTTGAGGATAGGTGGAAGAGTAGAAGCAGAAGTAGGAAAAATAGGTTTTTAAAAAAAAAAACTTAACAAATGTAATAGGTGTAGGGGAAAAACAAACAGGTGTAATAGGTGTAGGAGAAAACTTAACAGGTGTAATCAGTATAGGAGAAACCCAACAGGAATAAAAAGTTGGAGGTAGAGGAAGAGGAGGCTGGGAAAAGAGGAAGAAGAACATAAGGAGAAGATGGAGGAGGAAACTGTGGAAGAAAAGTAAATGAGAATGAGGAAACGAAAAGGGAAACTGAAATAGGAAGAAGGTAAAGAAGGAAAATAAGAAGGTTAATACAGGGTAGAGGATACTGAGTCTTCTTCTTTACGTAACCGAGTAATGGAGAAACAAGGAGGAGGAGGAAGAGTAGGATTAGAAAAGGAGAAAGAATAACATTAAGAGAAAGTAGAGAATAAGGGTGGAATAATTAAATTTTTATTTTAAATGTAGTTACAGTAAAATAGGGTAGGAATGACTGACTGACTGTTCTTCCCTTCCGTACCACTACCTGATGGTCTGTCTGCATTTACCGGCTGTAAACTCCAGCAGAAAGGCCTGGTAGTTTGCCTATTTCTGGACTCTGGCTTTGTTCCAGAACCTTAGCTTTTCATGTACAGCTGTTTTACAGATTTGTGCAATCTGTTGTATCCTTGCCTATCAAGCAGATGAACTCCAACTTTGTTGGGAACGTCGATTCTGTCTCTAGATAAACGAAGCCAATCTGAACCACCATCTGCTCTTGCTTCCACATCAGATCTCTTTAGGTGTAACGCCAGTGTTGCCGGGAGTCGCTAGATGCTTGCGTGTGGATCGGAAGGTCGTGGGTTTGCTTCCTGGCAGAGCCTGACTTTTTTTTTCAAAAAATTACTTTGACTCTCAGGTGGAACCAGCCTTGAGTGGGTACCGGGTACAGCCCCTGGAAGTAAAGGCGGCCGGCATGATGCTGATAAAAATATAGGTCTAACCCTACATGCCCTATATGCCTAAAGGCGTAGAAAAGGGACTTTTCCTTTTTTTTTTTAAACCAGTGTTGCCAGCTGTTGAGGCTGCAGTCTAACAAGTTGACCAAACTAAGTGATCTTCTGCTTCTCACTGAAACTGGTGCAAGGTGTTGTTCCCATAGTTGTCTGACAGTATTATTTCTCATTCAGGTTTAGATGGTTGATGTCTTTCCCCAGTAACTCATCTCGCAAGTGTTTATTTTTACGCAGGTGAGTCTCTGATAGTGTCCAAGTTTCAAAAACTATAATTACCATTAAAAAAATATTTAATAACAACATACTTCTTCTTGGGGAGCTGCTGTGGTCTCACGGCTAGACTCTCGCCTGCGGATCGGAAGGTCGTGGGTTCAGGTCATGACAGGGGCCGGATTTTTTTTAATGACCTTGGCTCTCAGGTCGACCCAGTCTTGAGTGGGTACCAGGTATAGTCCTGGGAAGTAAAGGTGGCCGGCATGATGCTGACCACATCACCCACCAAGTGCCGCTTGGTCTATAAAAAATATAGGTCTAGCCCTATATTCCCAATACACCTGAAGAAGTGGAAAAGGTCCCTTTACTTTACTATACTTGGTCTTGGAGTTTACCGCCTGTAAATTCTAGCAGAAAGTTCAGGTTGTTCATCCACTTTTGGACTTTAGTCTTATATATACACATCCACACAAACATTTGGAATGAATTTAAGAGGAGTGGAGAAATAAGAGCAACCATTGGTATCAACAGTTGTGAGACAGAAGAGAAGATGGTGCTATACTGGACACATCCTGAGAAGAATCCAGCAGAGAATCACTAAACAGGCACTAAAATGGGAGAGAAATGGATTGAGGAAGCGACGAAGTCCAAAAGAAACCCAACAACCAAAACTGATGAGAGATGCCAAATGTGTTGGACCGGATTCCATCCACGATACTGCACAGGACAGAAAGAAATGGAAGAATACACTGAGAGTCATATGTGACATTTAACTAAACAACAGGAAAATGATACACACACCTATACATACATCCACACCTACACATACACATTAACAGGACAATTATGACAATGATACCCATTACTACATACATCCACACCTACACATACACATACACAGGACAATGATGACAATGATACCCACACCTACATACATCCACATCTACACATACACACACACAGGACAATGATGACAATGATATCCACACCTACATACATCCACACCTACACATACACAAACAGGACAATGATACCCACACCTACATACATCAACACCTACACATACACACATACACAGGACAATGATGACAATGATATCCACACCTACATACATCCACACCTACACATACACAAACACACAGGACAATGATGACAATGATACCCATACCTACATACATCTACACCTACACACACCTAGCCAAACCTACCACACTCACACACCTATACTCACCTACCTACACATACACATCTATGCACACATATACTTTTGTTCTTAGTCACTCTTCTACCTTAAGGTATAGATTTTTGCGAAAGAGATTACCAGACTTCTATATCACAAGTTTTCTTTTTTACATGCACATAGAGAAACATATACTAAATCCAACAATTTTGAAGCCACTTACCCCTCTCACATCCGAGGCCAGCACTCTATGGGCACGGTAAAGGGAAACAACCTCCCTAGCGATGACTTTTTCATCACTGGTTGCCACAGGCAAGTTGTTGGACTTGTTAAACGTGTTGCATATTCCATGGCCTGAGATACAGCAAGGATAAGATATAGTCCCTACTATGTGTGGCTGGTAATCATATCTATCCGCAACCTTCTGTCTCAGGTACTGTCAATATTATATTTTCAGATACCAATTTTTTTTTTTTTTGCGTTCACCTGCTGTGAATTCCGGCGGAAGGTCACGGTTAATCGTCCGCTTGGACTTTTGGCTTTCACCCGGACCTGATTTTTGCGTGTTCAACCGTTTTAATGTTCCCTGCCTCATGGGCAGCTGTACTCCGACTTCGAAAGAAGACGTCAGGCCTATTTCTAGGTTGACTGTGGCCATTGTTTTGTGTGGGTCAAGACGTTGCCTGATTTGTGTGGAGTCCACTTTGTCTCCTTCTCCATAGGTATTGCCCCTGGAGTACCCCTTTGGGGCAGCCCCCTGTGGAACAGTTAGCCCTCAAGGGAAGGCAGGGGCAGATCATGGGCATTCCCCGCCATCCAAGGAGGCTTCCATGTATGCAGAGCCGACTCATGGTGCTCTGGTTCTGGGCTCACCCAAGGAATCGTCACGTCCTGCACATGCCTGCTTAACCTCACAACCGTATCAGGCTTCCCGCTTGACAAGAGCTGCGCCCTCTGGAAGTCAACGGGGAGCAGCCTGTGGATTTTGGACTTTTGTGACCACACGAATAGGTACATTCTTTTTTCTTCGCACGTTAGATTTCTTTGACGAGCCGTTAGCCCGACAGAATTTTACATCCTGCGTCAGGCATAGCGTTGTCAGTTTGGTCCCAACACTCGGGCGAGTGGGGTCTTTGGGTGTGGACCTTTGGTCTTTTTCCGTTCAGTACAAATTGTGGGGGTCAGATTTGAGCACACCCGTAGGATCTAGTTTTGTCGGACATTTAGGCTTAGCCAGCCAATGGGCTGTTGCTATTGTGGTGTACCTCAGCCCGGTGACGACGACACTAAGGGTTAACCGAGGATGTACATGGATGGCCATCCTCTGGATGGTTGCTGTTGTGGTGTACCTCAGCGCGGTGACGACGACACTGAGGGTTAACCGAGGATGTACATGGATGGCCAGCCTAGGGATGGTTGCTGTTGTGGTGACGACGACACTGAGGGTTAACAGAGGATGTACAGTGAGCAATGTTCTCTTCACTCCGCATTCTTTTAACCAAGGGTTGTGATTTTTAGCTGTACGTTTGGCAAGCATACTCATGTTCCTAATGAGTTTTGATAACCTTTTTCACCCAAGCGTTTGGGGGCGGGCTGATGAGAGCCACAAGGACACATCACTTCTGGGGGCCGCCAAACTCCGAGATCCCCTGACAGCTCTGTTAATGCTCGTTTGAGACATTATCCGTGGCGCACGACGAGGATGTGCTGCAGGGGTCTTGCGTGAGGTTCCGTAAAACCAGAACAGTGAAGGACTGGCGCCTGAGTGATGTACGGAGTATTTCCTTATACACATCCTGTTGGACTTAACTTCCCCTCACGCCTGTGACATAAATCACCGCGCCACTCAGATACCAATGTTTTCCCCTATTTGCCTACAGTAACCTAATGATGGCCTGGTTGCACCTGTTACATGCACAGTTCAATATTGGAAAAGGATGAGGAGAAGGAATAGGAAGAAGAGGCAAAAAAGAAAGAAGTGGAAGTAATGAAGGAAGAGGAAGAAAGGAAGAGGGGGAGGAGGAAGAAAGAAAAAAAGGAAGGAATAAAACTATGGGAAGAAACAAAGAAGGAAGAAAACAAGAGGTAGAAAAGAAGTAAATAGTAAGGCGACAAATGTCCCTCATTGCACATCAGACCATTCAGTCCATAAGAGCTTGGATCACCCCCTTAATAACTGTTGCAGCGTGTAGTGGCTCACGACATGAGTTCTGTGTTGGTTTCTTATTCTTCTTTTGTTTCCTGCATAGTACTCTTGTCTGGCCACACCAATTTTAATATGTTCTTGCAGTCTTGTCATGGCTGCAGATTCACAATCATCACTTGGTTCTCACAAACGTCTTAGAAAACGAGTAGAAAAATAAAGAAGAAGAAAAACAGAATACAAATTTACGACATAATTTCTGTAAACAAGTATCTTCTCACTGGGTTACAACCTGGTATCATTAAGAGGACCAAAGAATAAGAAGATGTAAACATGTAAGTTGTACCCCACCAGGACATCACACAAAGCGATAAACACTTGGTGACACAAAGTGCCACCATGCAGATGAGGATCACCCGTGAAGAGGTCCTAAAAACCCTGTTCAGCCGTTAGGCCATATTAAGGGCCCCTGGAAAAAGCCAGGGTGGGGCTTCAAATAACGAAAAATTGCATCCCACATGGAGACAACTAGAACAACATGAAGAAGTATCTTCTTCTTTACCTTAAAAGGGTGGTTGGCACATTGCACTGGGGTTTAAGCTAAGCTGTGATATCTACAACTGTTGGCCCATAACATCTTATATAAATACACTCCTAATTAGTCATCTTTTAAAATATGATCGCTGGGGGAGCAGAGGGAATGAAGTGGCAGTGGGGAAGGGGGGGAGGGGGTCTATTCCTCCACCCCCATGACCCAGATAAGGCTCTGGAACCCATAAGTGAAAGAAGCTAGGCTGCAATATCTGCACCCTTCAGCCCAAAACATTCAATTTCTGCAAATTCTTAATTAGCTGCTTTTTACAAGATGCCTGTTAAGGAGCAGAGGATCTAGTCTCTTTTGCCCCCCAAACTGGGGCCTCAGAACTCACGTGGGGAAAACAAGTATCAACAGCAGTCTCACCCATAAACTTTGCTGTCTCCACTGGTGCGTCAGGCCTCCTGACCATTAATTTCAGGGTGATACTGCGACCTTTGACCCCAATGGCATCCATACGCCTCTTCACCTCGGACGACAAATCCTGGAGAAAGGTCACGGCTTCTGTCTCCTGAAACAGCAAACAAAGATGCGGATTCACACTGTCAAATTAAGATATAACTGCGTTTGAGGAAAAAACATGGATATCCAGTCTATCAGAAAGAAACATAATCTGGTCACAGATGCTGACCATTTAGATGACCAGCATCAACAGGTCTTCATTCTCATATACCTCAGGACAGAGCACATCAAACTCAGCATTTGCACAGGCTTCAACTGAGTAGTTCACTGCCCTGTGGCTGTGTGTACAGACCACAGAATATTTCCTGCAAGACTGTCCCATTAAGAAGGGAATAATACTGGGCCAATGGGTCAACATAATAAAGAGGAACTTGAAACAATGGTCAATCTGATCATAAGAATTTGTCTGTCTGTGTAAATCAGAGATGTGACCATAAGAACTTGTCTGTCTGTGTAAATCAGAGATGTGATCATAAGAACCTGTCTGTCTGTGTAGATCAGAGGTGTGATCATAAGAACTTGTCTGTCTGTGTAGATCAGAGATGTGATCATAAGAACTTGTCTGTCTGTGTAAATCAGAGATGTGGTCATAAGAACTTGTCTGTCTGTGTAAATCAGAGATGTGATCATAAGAACTTGTCTGTCTGTGTAAATCAGAGATGTGGTCATAAGAACTTGTCTGTCTGTGTAAATCAGAGATGTGATCATAAGAACTGTGTCAGGTTTTGGCTGCTTTGACAGTGTCGATATTCAAACTTTCATTACCTATGTGGGGCACAAAAATAAATATCCCACCCTCCTACCCTACAGTTCATGATGCGCTAGACATGTGACCTTAAAAGCTCAGCCCCCCCCCCCCCCCACTCCCCACCCCAACTTGCCCTGTGCCACCCTTAAAATGGCAAATACAGTCAGCAAAGAACTCAACATTCAAGACAAGTGTGTCAGCCATGTGCACCTGTGGAAAGGTGCCCCAGACAGCAGTGTATGTATTCCAGGACTGCACCGAATTAAGGCAAACCTTTTGGCCAGAAAGAACCACAGTGGAACGTAAACTCTATGGACCACCGAATTAACTAACAACAACAGTGACATTTATACAAGAGACAAAATTGCTGATATAGACAACTTATTTCAGGCAAATGAAAGAAGAAGAAGAAGAAGAAGAAGAAGAAAAGAAGAAGAAGAAGAAGAAGAAGAAGAAGAAGAAGAAGAAGAACAAAAAGAAGAAGAAGAAGAAGAAGAAGTCAGCAAAGCAGCTTTTAAAAAATAAATTTTATTACACATACTACTGGGCTGGCTGCTCACGGTCCTCTAGGTGGCGAGCTATGTTGTCATGACAACTCTATAATTACGTGCAATAGAAAATACAGAGCATCCATATCTGGATAGAGTGATTCAGCTGGGAGTGAGCAAAATGGTCTCGACAATATTCTTATTTTTCTTTTTTCTTCTTCACATTCACGGCTGTAAACTTCAGTTATGGTTGTCCACTTCTGGACGTAACACTTATTCTAAAAGTGCATGCAACAGTTGTGGCAGTTTTGTTCATGAATATAAAAATGGCGATAAAGATGAAAATACTGATGGTGCTGGTGTTGACGATAATGATGATGACAGAAGTGGCAGAACTGTTCATGATACCAACAACGACGATAATGAAGAGAATGGTGATGATTGTGGTGGTGATGATGATTATGATAGTTTTGGTAGCAACTACTGATGATGACAATGATGATAATAGTAAGAATATTGATGATGTTGATGTGGATAGTGATGGTAACATTGGAGGTGATGATGATGTGGACAGTGGTGGCAATATTGATGATGATGATGGTAATGAAAATGTTGACTATAGTGGTGATGATGACAAATAATGATGATGATTGTTGTTGTCCCCTTCAACATAATGAGAAACATTACCTTTGAAAACCTGATCCCATAATTCACTTCTGCTGACACTGACTTTCTCTGCTTGTCTCCCTTGATTTCTCGACCATCCTGGCCCATGCTGAAATTATGCAACATTTCGCCTGTTTTGGGGCCGAACTCTTGCTTCAAAGTGGACACTGCTATCTTCCGCAAATCCCCACAAGTAGTCACACCAAGTAATGTCAACTTCCTACACATTGAGTAGCCAACACCTGAAATTCCAAACATAAACTGATATCTATGTCTACATTCAGATGTCAAAGATGACGAAGAAATATTAATATACTCATTATCATCAAATGCCTTGTTGAAAGGCGTGGGCGATCATGCCTCTCCACAATCTGCGATCAGCAACTGCATGTATCGATTCGTGTGTTAAAACTCCTCCATGCCATGATAAAGACTATCAAGAATCTTCTCGCACTGTCTTCCTCTGTCTCTCTTCCCACAAATCTTTCCAGTGGTCACAAAATGTTCAATTTTCCCTCTTCTCACAACATGACCATGAAATGATGACTGTCTCTTTCTGATGTTTGCGATAAGTTGTCTTCTAGCAACTGCCTCTTTCAAAACAGCTGGGTTACTCCTCTTAGTTGACCAAGGAATTCTAAGGATTCTTCCGTAAAACCACATCTCCGTGGCCTCAAGATATTGTCCAGCTTGTTAAATAATTGTCCAGGTTTCACAGCCGTATCTTAACACCGGTTCTATATAGCTTGTGAACATTCTTTTCTAAACTTCCAATGACATGGAATTATTGAAAAAATGTTCTCCATTTTATAAAATGCAGTTTTGACCTGTGATTTTCATTTTTATGTATATAAAAAAAAGATTCTCAACATCTAAGTCTTATAAACGCTGAAATTTGTTCTAATTATACTTATATAACCTAATTTTTTTTTTTTTTTTATATAGTAGTAAACATAATCCACAAACATTATAAATTTAATAGGTTGTATAATATAAAAATAATCTTAGACAATTAAATATTAGTTTCAAATGCTAAAATGAACTGGCACCGAAAGTTTAAATAACAACTTTCAGTTTAAAAAAAAAAACTTCCAAGGGAAATATACTGTATGCTTGACAGACAGACAGACAGACAGACAGACAGACAGACAGACAGACAGACAGACAGACAGACAGACAGACAGACAGACAGACAGACAGACAGACAGACAGACAGACAGACAGACAGACAGACAGACAGACAGACAGACAGACAGACAGACAGACAGACGAAGGGACGGACGGACGGACGGACAGGCAGGCAGACAGAGACAAAGAAACTGATGGGCATAAACAAATACTAACCACATCAAAGACAGATATAGACATAGATAGACACAGAGACAGACATAAAAACAGACATAAACTCACCAGGTAAATCTGAGACAGACTTATCTTCAATGAAATCCTTTGCCTCAGTGGCAGTGACCTCAAACTGACCATTTGGTTTGGCCCTCCTTGTTGCTAGTCTTGCCAGGAGTATGTTGGGACCTTTGTTCACAAGCAAACAAGACCATTTTAAAACAGTTAAACCAGATAACAAACATGCATTATTGGAGCCTATCAAATATACATTGCCCCATTACTGTCTGGGAAGCAGCAAGACGCAGACGCTTGCCTGCGAATCCAAAGGTCGTGGGTTCAGATCCTAATGTGGCTAGACATTTTTTTTTAAATAATGGCCTTGGCTCTCAAGTCTACCCAACCTCAAATGGGTACTGGGGAAAATCCTGGGCAGTAAAGGCTGCCTGAATGATGTTGATCATATCACCTAAAGAGTGCTCATTGGTTTATAAAATACAGCACTAGCACTATATGTCCAATACGACTAAAGGAGTGGAAAAGGGTCCTCTGTTTTTGTTTTTCTACTGTCAAAATTGTTGCCTAAATAAGCATATGATTACATCTATTTAAGTCTTCTTCTTCTTCTGTGTTTACCTTTAGAAGGGCTGCTAGCACATTGTGTCATGGTTTACAGCTAGGCTGTGACATCTGTGCCTTTTTACCCCGAACACATCAGACTTCAGCAAACTTTAAATTAGTTGCCTTTTTCACATGCTTGTTAAGTAAGGAGGCAGTGGGTCTATTCAATGTTCACTAACATGAGGCCCCTCAACCCACACAGGGATGAATCTCTTAAAGTAAGGCTATACACAAATGTTGACAACAATGCTATAATTGTGGAAGATTTCTTAATGCGGGTGAGTCTTGCTAGTCACACTCACCATTGCTATGGGCTGTGAGTCCCATGCCTCCTCATAGCACAATATAACACTATTGTCTGGAAAGAAGGAGAGGTGCCAATCAAGGTTTTACAAAAAATCAGGTTACTACTGTATTATCTCTCCAAGTGGGTCGCAGAGCCCCTTTCAGGGGAAATAAAGAGTATGTCTTCTTCTTCGTGTTCACCTGCTGTAAACTTTGGTCGATATTTATTTTTGTTCATCCACTTCTGGGATCTAGTCCTGTTCCAGAGCCTCAGTGTTGTGTTCACATCTGTTGTACAGATCTGACTCATGAGTGTGCAGACTGTTGTTTCCTTGCCTCTCAGGCAGATGCACTCCAACTTTGAAGGAAGCTCCTAATTAGTCAACTCTTGGGTAGGCAGTGGGTCTATTCTTGTTTTCAATGAGGCCCTGAGAACATACACAGACAGAAAAGAGTATACATACTGCTTCTTAACAAGCCTGTAGTTAAAGGTAACTAATAAAGGGTCACTGATATTACCATCAGTGTGCTGAGCTGAAAGGTAAAGATATCACAGCCAAGCTGCAGAAAAAAATACACAACATGCCAACCGCCTCTTTAAGGGTAAAAGCAGAAGAATCAGATCATCATCATCCTGAGTGCTCGCCTGTGTTCTCCCTTCTGTGTTCACCCTTCTGTGGTCTCCATTCTGCATAATCCTTTCTTCGTTAAGCCTTCTGTGTTATCCCTTCTGCATTCTCCCTTCTGCGATCTGCATTCTGAGTTCTCCATTCTGCTGACTCCCTTCAGTGTTATTCCCTCTGTATTCTCCTTTCTGTGTTATCCCTTCTGTGGTCTGTCTTCTGCTGTCTCCCTTCTGTGTTATCCCTTCTGCATTATCCCCTCTGAGTTATTCCTTCTGTGTTATCCCTTCTGTGGTCTCTCTTCTGCATTATTCCTTCTGTGTTTTCCCTTCTATGTTATCCCTTCTGTGTTATCCCTTCTGCGTTATCCCTTCTGTGTTATCCCTTCTGTCTCTCTTCTGCGTTCTCCCCTCTGTAGTCTCCATTCTGCCGTCTCCCTTCTGTGATTCTGCACCGCTCGGCTGACATAAAAAGGATACGCAACTAACTAACATCTCTTGAAGTCAGGTTTAATAAAAGAAGATCAGCAAATCATCAATTGACCAAGTAACAGCTGAATGAATGGTTAGAATGTTCAGTTCTTATGCAGGTTAGAATCCTCTTTGTGAGATGATGGAATTTTTTAAAGTTTTTTTTTATTTTTTTTATTTTAGGAGCAAGAATAAGCATCTTAACCTGCAATTTGGTCCTCTTCTTCTTGGGGTTCACCAGCTATAAACTCTAGCAGAAAGTTCCACTTGTTCATCCACTTTTGGACTTAAGTCATGTTTAAGAATTTTTGATGCTCATTTTTGCTCATCCATTTTTTTTCAGATATGCCTCACTTGTATGCAAACTGCTGGTTCCTCATAGCTCAGGCAGATGCACTAAAACTGGAGGGAAAATCCCTAATAAGTCGAGTTTTACGACAAGCTTGTTAGCAAGGCAGTGGGTCTATTTTTTACCTCCACCAGAACCAACATGGGAAGCAGCCATGCAGCTCTAAATCCTCAGGCTGAAGCTCTCCTTGTCCTAAGCCACCATAAAAATAAAAAGTGATGTTACATGCAATAAAGACCTCCCAAAAAAACTAACAGAAAATGTAAACAAAACTATAAATTATCTAACCAATGCCAACAGAAGATGTACAGCCGGTTTTCTCCAAGATTTCTACCCTCAACATCTGGGCAAACTCAGTGGGTGAAGCGCCAGTGTCTGACATGACATCGTTGCAGTCAATCAGCATCTCGTCACAGCTGACAGCTTCAATGTCGTGTGTGTAGCTGTAGATGACCAAGAATAACAAATTATAAGGACCCTTTATGTTAGAGAGTGCATCAGTGAGACGGTGTGTAAGTGTTTGTTTTTATTCGACTGATCAACATCATGGCCCACAAGTGTAATCCATAAGTTGTACTTCCAACTCAAGCTTGAGTCTGAAGAATCTCAGTGCAGTGCACGAACTCCGTTGCACCGGCAAGGATCCTGAAATATTTTTCGGTAAATTTTTCCCAGGCAGCGTCATTATGCTTCCCTCCAGCACTCGAGGCGGACACCATACTTCGAGACCACCTCAGCCTTCACAGTGTGTAAGTGTGTGTGTGCTTGTATGTATGTGTAGCTAGTTACAGATGGCAGGAATAACAAATTATAAGGGTCTTTTATATTGCAGAATGAGTGAGTGAGTTAGTGAGTGAGTTAGTGAGTGAGTGAGGAAGTGAGTGAGTGAGTGAGTGAGTGAGTGAGTGAGTGAGTGAGTGAGTGAGTGAGTGAGTGAGTGAGTGAGTGAGTGAGTGAGTGAGTGAGTGAGTGAGTGAGTGAGTGAATAAGTGAGAGAAAGAGACAGTGTTAGTAGGTGTGGCAACACGATCTGTAACTTCAGAACGTGTCTTTCCCCAGCCTCATTTGTTTCCCTGTATATTAAAGTATAGAGGAAAATATGCTCCTGCATATAACCTAAATCAAGGCCATTCAGAATCAAGCCACTTAATGCTTCCTAGACTACAGCTGATATCAAACACTTGCACAGAGGCAAGGTGTCAAGAATCCAGATAACACTGACCAAGTGTAGACATGATGGCTGTAGTTTTGTCTGTAAGACTAGGTGTTCATATAATTATCTTGAGGCTAACATTAGGGGCAAGTAACTCAAGAGTAATTATTTCCCCCAGGATTATCTTTCTTGAACTGCAGGCCAGTGTCACCTTTCAGAATGAGGTGTTAGCAGACAACCTCAGACCAGGTGTTAGAAGAGCACTGGGAATATAGAAGGAAGGTATGACTAGGTTTATGGCCAGCTTGAGGAGCCCTGGGAATGCAAACAAGTGTTTGAGCCTTCCTGACTGACAGGCATTTAGTGAAATCACTACACCCGTGGAGAGGAGCTTTGACATCCCTGGAATGTGAGAGGTTCAGGAGGAGAAAGAGGGGGAGCTTATGAGAGATTACAAAAGTATGGAACGTAGGGCTGGAAACTTAACTCTGCTGCCGCACCACTTGTTAGGCTTAAAATCTAAGCTCTGAGACCAAAACTTGGTGGCTCAGTCTTCTCACCTAAATTTCATTACAGGACATGAATAGAGGAAGACAGAAAACTTAACAACTACAATGTGAGACGAAGCCCTTCCAGACTAGACACTAGACGGTGGAGGTTGTGTATAGGAGGAGAGGAGAAGTATTATTTCTATACGAATATGCTTACCATGTGTAAGAAACCTGAGCTTACTCATGGGTATTTGTTTCTTTATCACATTTCCCACATGTGGCAGGGACTAGTCCGCATCTATTCTTTGCAGACAGTCTGAGTGTAATGTCCTGCTTGAAGCAGTGAGGATGACAAGCTGGGAATAGAGGCAGAGTCTCATACTGAGATCTGTCTCAGGTTTACAAGTTATGTAATGTTTATTGTTCATAAGAACAGCGTAAAACCATCCTCACTTTACTGTCATATGCACGTACTGAACTCACTGAATTATTGCATTAGCATCACTGAGCTATTATCTTTTATGATTGCAAGATCAATACCAGCCGTTTATGTTTCTTTAGATTGATTTTTAAAAATCATGTTCAAGTGTTTGTTAACTCATAGTTTGTTAACAATTTCTCATAGTTCCAAGTGGCTATGTTCGTAATTTGTGTAATTTAACACATAAGTTTTAGAGGGTCAAACAATTACTATCACACTTGGTTGGGACCTTCATTATAAATTAATACCAGGGGAGGAGAAAGTCGGAGGGGTTAACTGTGTAACTAGATATTCTCTAACTGAACTCATCTAGATATCTAGCTACCCTTTTCCTACTCCTAAGGATACAAGTTCAGCTATTTTAATTTTATTGTACGAGCCACTTTTGCTGTTTTCTTGGTTATCCAGGACTATGTCTGGGATCAGCACAGCTCAGATATAAGTCCAAGTTCTCAGGTGGGTGTGCAGTGTTAGGATTCCAATCCATACACTCAATACATAAGTGTATATCCACATGGTGTTGGCAACAGTGTGTGAATGTTTGTGTGTAGCTATAGATTATAGAAATAACAAAACTATAACAACAGATATATATATATATATATATATATATATATATATATATATATATATATATATATATATATATATATATATAGAGAGAGAGAGAGAGAGAGAGAGAGAGAGAGAGAGAGAGAGAGAGAGAGAGAGAGAGAGAGAGAGAGAGAGAGAGAGAGTACTGAGTGTGTGTATATATGTGGCTAAGAAGGCAGGAAAAACACATTATTATGGTATTTTATACTGAACAGCAGAAATACTTTATGTGTAACCTGGCAGACTTTCAATCCAACTTACCTTCTGGAAGGAAGAGCTTGAGAAGAGAGGGATGACCATCAGTACCTCCAAAACTAAAACCATAGTGATCTCAAGAGAGGAGAAGAAACACCAGATTATGATGGGACAGTATGCACTGAAGCAGGTCAACCAGTTCAAATACCTTGGAGTTGTAATAGACCAAAATGGAGACATTAAGACCGAGCTGGCTACACAAAAAGCAGGGTTTCTTTGCTAAAGAGAAATTGGCAAGAGGATGAAAATTGGTGTTTACCGCTCTACCTATGTGCCAGTCCTGACCTATGTCATGAGCAATGACAACAGCTCACAGAAGCCAGCTTCAGGCTTCAGAAATGAAAAATCTGACAAAGGTGGTCCAAGTGACAAGAAGGGACAAAAGTCCACAATCAAACAATATGTCAAGATCTTGATACCCAGTCCTTACAAACCCGAGTGGATCAGTCACAGTTACGATGGTTTGGACATGTATGCAGAATGGGAGAAAAATCGGCTACCATGGCAGGCTAAAAACCAGGGAACCAGACCTCCAGGGTGACCCAGGGTGCGCTGGGAAGACAACATCCGATAGTCCCTAACTGACAGAAGACTGCATTGGAACAAAGCCAGAAAGTAAACTGCTGATAGAGAAAGTATGGCAATCTCTCTGGCAAACCTCTACACCCCAAGGTAGAAGAGCAGCGACTAAGTAAAGTAAGCTGGCAGGAGGAATACAACACAAATAGATATTAAAACAATGATGTTTAAAGAAAAAATAATGTGCAGCTGCACAGGTCAACAAAGTAGACATACCTGGCTACAACATCATACAGGATTCTAGACACCCGATTATACTCGCTGAAGTCGTATGGAATCGTCTGCAGGTCAGGGCAAAGGTTTAAGGCTGTTCCCACAAACATTCCATTCTTCACTCCAGCCTAGCAGAATACAGTCAAGTTTAGGTGTCAAATGTCAGTGCATACAATCTTCTCCTACTTCTCCTTCTGTGTTCTCTCTTCTGAACTCTCTTTCTTTCAGTACCAAACAACGCTTCTCTCTTTCAGTACTAAAGAATGCACCATGTGTGACCAGAATCTACTCATGTACATAAGCCAACATATTATATATCAGGGCTGTTCAAATAAGTTTACTCAGGGCTTAAAATGATGAAAATGGGGATCGTCACAAGCCAACCCTGCACTGACATATAATGAATACAATATAACCAACAATGGTCAACATGCCACTTGCTAGGTCTCTTCAGGCCAAATCTGGCCTACAAGCTGCCAGCTGAATAGCCCTGTTATATATAATATATCAATAATCCTGATCTGTAAAACGGATCTGCATGCAAAGCTCAAGTTTAGGAACAAGGCTAAAGTACAGAACTGGATGAACAATAGAAATTTCCACTAGAGTTTACAGCTGGTGAACACCAAGAAAAAGGATGTGATTGGCTGATAAGATAGCACAGTCGATAAGAAGCTCGCTAGTCCAATTTTAAGACATACTTGTTGGCTGCAGTAGGTCTATCCCCCTCACCCCCCCCCCCTCTCTTTCACCATCCCAGCCCAGAACCCATGCAGGGAAATGTGCAGAATACATTTGAAAAGACTGAATACTTTAAACAGCTTTTAACAGGTTTCGAGGTGGCAGAATCAACTCTATTGCAACAGATTTTACCCCCTAAAGCATGTTCAGTCTCCGAGTATGGCTGACCGCCTGCTGAGAGAACCAAAAGACTGACCTCCTTAGTTCAACAACAATCCCCAGAAATCTCAGAAAAAACTCCACCTGTGCACAGAATGACGCAGTCCCGAAATCTACCCATGACCTTCAGAGCATGGGACAAACCACTTGACCAAACAGACCTCAATTCTGAGATTGTGTGGGCAGAGATCACCCATTTTTCTGTATTCGCTTTTAAAATGCGGTTTACAGCTAGGCTGCAATATTTGTTCTATTAGCACTGGTACTATTAGCATGTCAACTCTTTGTTGGTTACTGAAGAAGGGGGTGGAGCGCATATGGGTATGTCCTGAGAATCATTCATTCATCTGTACCTTTCAGCCCCACACATCCAGTTTCAACAACAACCTAATTAGTTGCTTTTTACACCATGCTTGTTATGGGGCAGTGGGTTTATTCTTTTAATCCTCCAAAATGTGGCCCCCAAAACACACACAAGGACGAGATCACTCAGCAACTGCATAGATACTAATACACATGTCAACTCATCATTGTCAAGTGCCCTGCCAATTAGTGTTTCTCACTGTGTACTATTACTGCATCCATTAAACTCACGGGGTATAGTGAACTGTGTGTTATCACAGGCAGCTGACTCTAAAAAGTCCACGAAGAGGAGGAGTTGACTCTACGACGTTGGAGAGGAAGGACACACCGGCAGAACCCGTGAGAACTGGTGTTATTATTACGCACGCAGCTGTAGTGTGGGATCAGGGAGTCTGGGTGTGACTGTATGCTCTAGTCTGAGTGTTGCCAGACTAGAAGAGTGTGCTTATATTTCACGCTGGGTGACGGTATTTAGTGTCCATGTTATCTGCGGGAGTTGAGCAGCAGCAAGGATCCAGCATGATGTGAGGTGGGATTCAGGATATTTCAAGGTAACGTAACAGGCCGCAGAGGGGAGGTCTGGAAGGATTCTTACAAATTATTGGGCACTGGCCCAGGGTTCTCTATGGCCAGAGAGATAGTCACGCTAATCACGAACATGTGGATTTACGCGATCGGGTATTGACTGCCTAAAGCAACCACGGAACATAGGGTGACAGAAGCGGTCTTCTAGAACATCCTGTGTGTGCATGTAGTAGCAGTGGGAATGACTGTAGCCATGTGATATTCGTATCGTGTGATGCACTCTGTATCATGATGTCTGAATATAGTGTAAACTTTGACGGTGAACCTGTGTCCGGAGTCCTCTGTTACCGTTCAGCGGGAATTGTGACCTATAAGACTGACCTGACTGAGTACTCCCTAGATACTCAGCAAATTTGCGCTGTATCAGCAGGCATCACACGCGTTAAAGGTACAGATATCTCAGCCTAGATGTAAACCACAACACAAGTCAACTCCCCTTTTAACAGCAAACGCAAAAGAAGAAGAAGAATATTATGATTTTAAAATTTGCTGGAAAAGTTTCAGAAGACTTCAAAGCTTGCAACAATCTCATAAACAGGGAAGACTTCAAAGCTTGCAACAATCTCATAAACAGGGAAGACTTCAAAGCTTGCAACAATCTCATAAACAGGGAAGACTTCAACAATCTCATAAACAGGTAAGACTTCAAAGCTTGCAACAATCTCATAAACAGGGAAGACTTTAAAGCTTGCAACAATCTCATAAACAGGGAAAATTTCAGAACTTGTTGGGGGGGGGGGGGGAAATCCCAGAAGCAGAGGAGAACCATAACTTTCTGGAAGAGTCTGAGAAACAAAAAAGACTTTGGAACTTGATAAACAGAAAACAATAAGGAAACTTCTCCTGTACATTATACTGCTGACTTGTGGAAGTATGACATGCACATTACAGCAGTGCCGTATTTTTACAGGCTAAAAAAAAAAAAAGCAAGCAAGAAAAAGAAAGAAAGAGAGAAAGAAAGAGAAAAGAGAAAGAAAGAAAGAAAGAAAGCAAGCAAGAAAGAAAGAAAGAAAGAAAGAAAGAGAGAAAGAAAGAGAGAAAGAAAGAAAGAAAGAAAGAAAGAAAGAAAGAAAGAAAGAAGGAAAGAAAGAAAGAAAGAAAGAAAGAAAGAAAGAAAGAAAGAAAGAAAGAAAGAAAGAAAGAAAGAAAGAAAGAAAGAAAGAAAGAAAGAAAGAAAGAAAGAAAGAAAGAAAGAAAGAAAGAAAGAAAGAAAGAAAGAAAAAAGAAAGACTAATAATGACATAGTCATCAACCTAATTTAATCATAAAGATAATACCTTTCTAGCCTCGTAACTGCAGGAAGCAATCTCAGCCAGGGACTGGAAGTTGTTGGTGTTCCCTGATGCTCCTGGGGCAGCATCAATCCCACCAGTATGTTCCCCTGGAGATTGTGAGTGATGGAAGAATGGACAAAGACAGTTAGGATTATATTCTTCAGCAAGGAAATTTCTGTGGGTGAGTGTTGCGGAAAATTCCTGGTGGCCACCAAAAAAGTGCGCTCAATTATTTATGAGCTAAAACAACATTTCAACTATGTATATCATCAGATTTTCTAACATTTAGGTCGGCAGCGGAAGTCGCATTCGCTGAAAACTTTAATATTTTTCCATGCTGAATTTGATAAATAACATTATAGCTAATTTAGTTTTGTTTCTTTTATATCCTTGGCCAGTTTGCACAATATTTCCATTATTTTTCTGGTCCACAAATGTAAAAAGGTTGGAGAAGACGAAGATTTCAGCTATAGGACAGACACTATTATTTGCTTCCAAGTTCCAACATATTAAAGGAATTGTCGCACATTCCAGCTGTTAACAAGAAGAAATTGGGACACAGTGTTATGACTGGAAATATCTGTGGCAAGAGAGACAGAGGAAGACAATGTGAGAAGAGTGCTAACACCTCGTCATCATGACATGGACAGATGTCAACACAAACAGGTGTTGATTTCTTGGTCCAGGGATAGTGTGTTATTGACTCTCTAAGGTCCGAACAACAGATCAACATCATGGCACAAGGGCTGTAACCCATAAGCACTCCGTTCTTCTTCGAACTCAAGTCTGAGTCTGAAGTAGCTCAGCGCAGTTCACGGGCTCCATAGCACTGGAGGGGATCCTGAAATATTTTGGGTAGATTTTTAACTCCAAATTTTGCCCAGGCAGCGCTGATAGGCCACTCTTTTCGATTTCCAACTGCCAAGGGATTTTGTTATGTGTGCAGCAATACACACATAAACCATAAGAGTCAACACATAAGGTGATATATATGCCGTTGAAGACTGCAAGCTGTGGATTGGCATGTTTGCCCATGCCAGTCTGCGAGACACTTAATAATGAGGATGAGATAGGGTTAAACATAGGGTTTCTCTTTTTAAATGCTAATATCATGAATGTGTCAAGTAGAAAGCAACTGATGTCACTGGTGGCACCGGATTTAAAGAAAAAAAGTGAAATATCATAGTATGTGTACATAGTTTTATTTTAATACACCCAAGCAAACGTTTACACTAAGCCTTTTTTTTTCTTCTTTTGAACTCAACGGCCAACTATCCTTAACAAAAATTTTAACCAATAAAGAGCATACAATGACATATCAATCGTCATATCAAGCGCCACGATTGGAAAAAATTATAGCAAAAGGCATGGTACCAGGAAGGAGGGGCAGGGGGTGACCGACACGAAGATGGGCACAGGACATAAGTGACCCCTTGAGTATGAAAGTACATGAGGTAGGAGAACTGGTGAGAGAACGAGTTTCTTTCAGGCAGACTGTGATGAGAGCGACGTTCTGCAAAGGACCTGCTACATGATGATGATGAATGACAGAAAACACTAACATTTTTAAAAAAAGGGATGAGATAGGGTTAGCATTAGTTATTAGGAAAATTAAACATAGAGGTAGCTCTGATGAAAGCGAGCTAGGGTACTGAAGTAAATAGTGATAGAGCCATAACACCACTTAACTCCTTGTTCTCTTCTTCTTCTAAGCATTTACCGACTGTAAACTCCGATAACAGTCTGGTTATTCATCTATTTCTAGACCTTGGTCCTGTTCCAGAACATGAGTTTTGCATGCACATCTGTTTTGCAGTTCTGGCTTATTTGTATGCAGACTGTTAGTTCCTTCCCTCTCAGGCAGATGCACTCCGAATTGGAAGGAAACATTCCCAGTTTGTTACCTTTACGACATACTTGTTAGGAAGCAGTGGGTTTATTTCCCCAAACCTCATCCCCCCCCCCCCCCGAATGGGGCCTCAGAACCCACAAGGGGTATTCCTTGTTCTGAGAGACATCATTTCTTCTGCATCTGCCTTAAAAGGGCGGTTTACAACTAGGCTGCGATATCTGTAGCTTTAGGAAAATACATCCAACTTCTTCACCCTTTTGTTGCTCAGGTTAGCCCTCCTGGACAAGAGTCACACACTGGGCACTACTGTGACTCACTGTCACTTAGCAGGTTCTGTGCAGAATGTCACTTCCTTGACAGCTGGTTTGAAAGACACTACATCCTTTGGCAGCTCTCATGCCTGATGCACTTTCCTTTCCAAGGTGTCCTGTGCCAATCTCCATACTGGTCAACCCCTGACTCCTTTAACCAGTACAAAGCCCTCTTGTTGTTTTCTTTCCCCACTGCACCAAGGTATTTGATACTGTCATTAGTATTTCAGTTTCCAAGACATGATGCTGTTTTCTTCTTCTTCTTTACGTCCTCTTTTACTGCTTCAGTGTCAAGGGAGATATGAGATCCTGCTTTGTGCTCTTCTGGCTGCTTCGACCATAGACACATTGTGGTGCTGTAGAGTTTTTCTAATGTTATCTTCACATCTTGTTCTTGGTCTATCTCTTGAACTACGTTCCTCTCCTCTTGTATGGTAGAGCATCAGAAGGCATTCTCTCCAAGCAGGTAAACCATTTGATTTGCTGTCTGTTTACGTAATTAAGCACTGGTTCTATGCCAGCTTTATCTCATATGACCTAATTCCTGATGTTATCTCTTCTGGCCACCCCTAGTCTTTCTTAGACACCTCACAGTGATTGTCACTAATTTTCTTTTATTTTCTGTTGTGAGTAACCATGTCTGGCACTGATAACACAAGGTGGGAATGAATATGATGCTGTTTACAAGCCAATTTGGCTTGATTTTCAGATCTTTTAGGATCTTTTTGTTGGCTAATTATGGGTTTCCGGGACAGTGTATGCTTCTTAGCTAGCTGCATGGTGATACTTTTGTTGAGTTTCAGCAAGTTGTTAAATCCATCTATCCATATTTTTCTTGGCCTTCTTCTTCTTCTTCTCTTCCACTTTGTACCTCTTCAAAGTGTCGGGGGAAGATGTAACGGTCGTTGATGAGCTCTGTCAAGAGCACTATTAAGACTGAAGTTCATTTCCGTAAGGCTGTTCTTAATGCCATCACTCCATATTTTCTGAGGTCTTCCACTCGCTCTATACCCATTGTAACATTTTAGTGTGGCTCGCTGTGGCAGATAGTACCAGGGCATTCTTGTTAGGTGTCCTAACCATTTCATTTGTTGTTCTTCCTCTGCCTCTTGATATTTCCATCCTCATGTTGTATGCTCTTGCAACTGGTGACGCTGCATGTATTCTAACCAGGTGGCCAAACCATTTCATTATTGTGAGTAAAAGAGAAAATACAAATGGTCCTTACATGTCTCTATGTCATCCTTGTCCACATCTTCCAAAGTTTTAGTCGTCGGCCCTTTCAAGTGAGCATTGGTCGGTTTCTTCATCCACTGATCTCTTTCCCAGGCTAAATTAGACTCTGGGTTTGGTTTTGCTCCATGACCTCTTGAATGAGTCACAGCAACAGGTTTCCCTGTAAACATAAGCAAAGTTCAGGCATTTTAATTTCTTTTATTATTTCTATTACATTCTGCTCATCTTCTTCTTCTGTGTTAGCCCTTAAAAGAGTGGTTTGCGTGTTGTTTTTTGGTCTACAGCTAGACTGTGACATTTCTGCCTTTTGGCCCTACACATCCAAATTCACCAAACCCCTAATAAGCCACCTTTTATCTTCTTCCATTTCTTCTGTTTGCTTGAAATAAATTATCTATATCTGCAATGCTGTCTCTAGTATGAACTTCCTGTCTTTTGTAATTCCCTTAATGGCCAGTAAAGTTTGGCTTCCACTAGTGTCTCTCTTGGCCAGAGGTTTTGTATGGAAACATTGTATCTGGAACAGTCTTAGAGGACGTGATCTGTTATCTAAGGTCCCAGTCCACATGTGCACATTTTTGATTCACCAATCTTAAATTCTGTGTACATGTGACTGCGAAGTTGATTGTGCCCTGTTCTAAGGTGTACAGTCGGCTTTTAAGACATGCCTGTTTAGGGAGCAGGGGGTCTGTTCATTGTCCCCCTTTCTTCTTCTTCATCTTCTTCTTAGCTTTAACTGGCTGTAAACTCCAGCGGAAAGTTCTGGTTGTTTGTCCACTTCTGAACTTTGGTCTTGTTCCGGAACCTGAGTTTTGTCTACAAACCATTTTACAGCAGATCTGGCCTATTTGTATGCAGGCTGTTGTTTCCTCATCTCTCAGACAGATGCACTCCGACTTTGAAGGAACCACCCCACATTAGTCGCCTTTTATATTTACTAGATGTGGCGCGGTGATTTCGGTCACAGGCATGAGGGGAAGTTAAGTCTGATGTGATGTGTATAAGGAGATATTCCGTACCCCACTCGGGCGCCAGTACTTCACTGTTCTGGTTTTACGGAACCTCATGCAAGACTCCTGTTGCACGTCCCCGTCGTGCGCCACGGATAATGTCTCAAATGAGCATTAACAGAGTTGGCAGGGGATCTCGGAGCTGGCGGCCCCCAGAGGTGTAGAGTCCTTTCTGGCTCTCACCAGCCCGCCCCCAAACGCATGGGTGAAAAGTAACAAAACTCAAGGACTGCTTTCTAAATGTACCATCAAATGACAACTCTTGGTTAAAATTCGGGAGCGAATGGAAAACTGTGCTGCTGAGACTCAACCCTGACCGAGAGATTTACCCGCAGCAAAGACGAGTAACATCTCTTGTGGGCGACTTCTCGCAGCAAGATCCCACCTACGTACATCCTCTGTCAATCCTCAGTGTCGTCGTCACCGCGCTGAGGTACACCATGGCAGCAACTATTCATATGCTGGCTTGAAAACAATGTCCGACAAAGTTACACCCCACGGCACACATGCAAGCTCAAAGTCCGACGATCATAACTCGTACCGATTAGGAAAAGTCTGAATGTCCGTATCCACTGGTCCAACTCGCCCGAGTGTTGGGACCAAACAGGTGAAGCCACGCCTGACGCATTTTGCTTCCCCATTCTGTCGTGCTAAGGGCACAGCTGAAACAACGTTAAAGGTGTCTAACGTAAGATGAAAAAGAATGTACCTATTTGTGTGGCCACAAACGTCCTAGACCTGCGGGCTGCTCCCCGCTGATCTCCGGAGAGCGCAGCCTTGTAGCGCGGGAAGCTCAATACACGGTTGTGAGGTTTAGCAGTCATGGGCAGGACGTGACGATTCCTTGGGTGAGCCCAGAACCAGAGCATCATGTGTCGGCTCTGCATTTATGGAAGCCTCCTTGGATGGCGGGGAATGCCCATGATCTGCCCCTGCCTTCCTTTGAGGGCTGAAAACTCTACATAGAGCTGCCTTAAGGACGACATGCCGGGGGCCACACTTGTTAAAAGTCAAAGAGGACACCACACAAATAAGGCAACATCTCGACCCACACAAAACAATGGCCACAGTCAACCTAGAAATAGGCTTGACGTCTTCCTATGAAGTCGGAGTACATCTGCCTGAGAGGCGGGGAACGAGTACTACAAACAAATAAGCCAGTACAACGGATGTACATGCAAAACTCAGGTCAAGGTAAAAGCCAAAAGTCCATTTTGGACGAACAACAGTGACTTACCGCCGGAATTCACAGCCGGTGAACAAGAAGAAGAAGAAGAAGAATATTTACTAGATGCTTTTTAAGGGAGACAGTGGTCCCCCCACCAACAGATTAACCTGAGGGCCGTGGTAGCGCAGTGTCTAGATCAGGGCTAGACAATTAAATTAACTGAGGGGCCAAAATTGTGAAAATGGGGATCCTCACCGGCCTGAAGCCAGACTCCCAAGCATAGAGAGAGCATCAGTGCAATACTAGGAATGATCCACGGACCACTGGCTAGACCTGCCCGGGCCAAATTTGGCTTGTGAACTGTCAGCTAAATAGCCCTGGTCTAGATGCTTGCTTACTGATCCAAAAGTCTTGCTGTTGAATCCTCATCCATTTTTCATAACGGACTTAACTTCCCAGTCAACCCAGCCTCTATCAGAAATTGTTCTGGAAAGTAAAGGCAGCTGGCAAGATGACATCAACTATGAGTCTCCATTGGTCTAAAATAATATGGATTAGTCATTGCCTGATGCACCAATGCCATGAAAAGGGTCCTTTTTTTAATAAGGTTTTATATTAAGTTTGCTTTTATTTGTTTGTTTGTTTGTTGAAATTTTTTTTATTGACAAGATTAAAAAAATTTTTCACATGATTAACTACCTTAATAGCCTCTTTTGACATAAATGCTTGACTACAACGTTACTTTTCTTTTTTCCACTTTGAGCCCCGGTAACAAGCAGGGATTTCAATCTTTGACCTGATTAAGCAATGGACACTTTTTTTTGCACATCAGGCATATGATGCTAAACTCATATTTTATAGACCGATCAGCACCTAGTGCTAGCAAAAACCACAATGACTGGCCATCGTTGTCCCTTGTCAAAATCAGACTGCAGTCTCAGCAAAACACACATATATTACAAGCATAAGGTAGGTGTCAGAAGAGCACATACAAACAGCCCAACGAAGGACTGTTATGAGACTGCAACAGTCATCATCATCATCCTTGTGTGCTGTTATACATCACATGGGGCTCACAATCTCTTCCCTTGAATTCTTTTCTCCCTGTGTGGGTTCCTGGGCCCCATTATCGGGAAAACTGGGGGCTTCCTTTGAAGCCAGAGTGCTTATGTCTGAGAGGCAAGGAACTGACAATCTGCATACAAATAAGTAAGATGGATGTGCGCGTAACACTCAGGTTCTGGAACCAGACTAAAGTCCAGAGGTGGACAAAGAACCAGAACTTTCCGCCGGAGTTTACAGCCGGTGAACACGAAGAAGAAGAAGAAGAATTCTTTCATGTGCAAATGTTTCAATATTGTGGAACGGAATCCGGGCAAGCAACTGTAGCCTCTCCCATCAATGTTCATCATAAGGTTTGTTTTGTATGTCCTAGCCTCCTCTTTCAATTTGTTGCACTGCAACAATACAGGATATGTTTTTACACACATGTGTGAACAACTGTTCTCTTTTTTGTTTTTTAAATGCCAAAAGGTCCCGACCAGCTTATAAACACTTGTCAGCGATGATTAAGATTAACACAGAACAAGCCAGATACTTAAGAGTTACATTAAAAAATGTGTCCCCCAAATATTGGATGGCATTAGGTTATTTTAATACAGTGTAAACTGTCTAAACTGTCTGTTTTACTACTTTTTAGGATGGTGTACATGGCCGGGGGGGGGGGGGGGGGGGGGTGTGTGTGGTCGCCACAGACTGCACGTCAGGATGTTTAATTTTTTCCCTGACAGAAAAACTCCATCACCTTACCAGAGGTCGAACTCAGGTTTTCTGCATGAGAGCCCGACATACAAAGTAAACTAATCGCCAAAAAATCAAATCTTCTTCTTCAGCCTTCACCCTAAAAAAGGACACTGACACGTAGTATTGTGGTTTACAGCTAGGCAGCAATATTTGCACATTGCATCTCAGCACATCCGATTTCAGCAAACCTCTAATGATTAATTAGTCATATTTTACGATAGGCAAATGAGGAGGCTGTGCTATATATTCTTTGCTTTTCATCCTGAAATAGGGACCCTGGACCTCATACAGGGATACTTTTCAATTTGACATGTTTGATAGGAATATTAAAATCAGGGCGAACAATAAAAGATACCTTTTAACTCTGGTCTGGCCAGGAGCCCAACTGACACAAAGAAACAATCCATATCAATATGCATAACAGTTTTCTGTATGCTGCCGTGCCGAGCCGAACAAAGAATCTCTGGCTGACCGAGCTTCATGGCATTCTCAACATGCAGCTGCCGCAACTTCTCCCGACCTGGAAACGAGTGACTTTTTGACTTCTGGATCTCAGAGACGTAAGCTTTGAACTCAGCTCCCCAGGTAGCAATATGGTGAAGCCGGGAATTGGAGTAGAACTCATTTAGGAAGTTTTTGTCACCCGCTTTAGGCATTGTGGATGATGATCGTTGGAATATCTGCTTGGAGGAAGAGTGTGCTGGATCGAAAGCTAGTGTGGCTGAGGATTTATGAGATGGCTGTATCAAAAATGAATTTGCTGGTTCTAACGCTGAAGATGGTAATGTTTTTAAAGGTCCATGGGTTGATTCCCTGTAGGATGAGTTTGTTTGGTATAAAACTGAAACTGTGGCTGAAGAATTATCAGAAGATTGTTTCAGAGATGTGTATGCTGGTTCCAAAATGGAGTGTGATGTTTGTAAGGTACAGGGAGCTTCCGGCGGTTTTGCTTTCGGTGAAAGATGTGGTTTTTCTAAAGCAGATGGAACCTGTTGTGCAGTTGAATTCAGTGAAAGATGTGACGTCACTGAAAGGCAGGTAACCTGTTGCGATACTGAATTCTGTGAAATACATGATATCTTTGAATCCGGTACAGATGATGTGACTAGCATATCTCCACACACTTTTCCCACTGACTCCGGTACAGTTGATACAGTTCGCTTAAAGCTACACATTTTT